GGGTAAGGAGCAAGACGGAGAGTGTGAGAGAGAGAGAGAGAGAGAGAGAGAGAGTTAAATAGCCAAGGGAACTTTTCAACTCTCTCCAAGAGTTAAAAACCCAGAGTCTGTGAGTCTCTGTTACATGACTTAATCAATAACAAAGAGCAGCAAGAGGGAAGTTTGCAGAGTTCTGCTTATCTTTGTGAATGCTGTTTCTGGAGCCAGTGATGAGACAGACCCAACACCACCACATTTATAGTTTCTCTCTACCTTCCACGTCAACTTCTGAGCTACACTCTTTTCTTTCCGTGGATTATTTTATATTTTTCCTCCCACTATTGCTGATGTCGTCCTTGAGGATTTAGAAGAAGACTCCACAGAAGGAAGGATTCACTTTTCTTCCCTTTTAATTCAAGGTTTTATTCACCAACTGATGACTGTATGAGAGTTTCTACATCTAGAACAATGTCTTCATGCTGGAGGAGAATCTCCTGCTTGCCAGTGATGTTGGGTGCCTCACTGGTTGTTCTCACAGCTGTAACTGCTGGACCGAACCAGGACAGACGTCAGGCTGGGTCATGTTTTGGAGGCTTTGATCTCTACTTTGTTTTGGACAAGTGAGTTTTTCAGACAAATGATGCATCTTAATCAAAATTCAAAATTTCCCCCCCAAAGTGTTTGTTTCTTTCAGTCAGTCATTGTATACATGTATGCATGTATACTTGTCTTCATGATGTCATCATTAATTCTGCCGATGCAGTTCATGGATAAGCCCAGATCTAACTCAGAGCATGATATATGTCCACAGATGGAAGTGATTAGTGGAGTGTTAGGTGTTCCCCCATTCATCAGTCGGCTGCAGGCTGCACACAACTTAAACACTGTTGCTGACTGCTCTGTTTTCTCTTCTCTGATAAACCATGTGGGTTTATTCAAGATCATTGGCCAGAAGTTGCAGATGAACTAGGAAAACAAATTTTGGGTCAAAAATGAATGTCATACACAGCAGATATTTCGTATTTAACCTGTTTTGTGACATTTGTTCCCACTCAGCCAGGTAAGATTGGTATTAGATTAGTTGCCAGTGGAATAATTTGACTTTCTGTCTATATAATTATTATTGAAGTACAAATAAGCCGCATTCTTAAGCATTCCTCCCACTAGCACACCTAACACAAAGAGAGGAATCTCATCCCATCTAAGTCACTTAAAAACAGTGCAACAGTTTAACAGAGGTCACACATGAGCAGTATTCATCTCACTTTTCCTCACTGTCAGACACTAAAAAGGACAGACCGCAGATGGCTATAACAATTGGCCAATGCAATTAACTTACTTACTTATTTTTTTTCATAACCTATTTCCCTGCAAACTCAGTTTGGACATCTCAATTTTATTACTATTTTCCAAAAACCACCAGGCTTCCAACTAGGGTGGACTTTACTTTCTCCCTCCCTTGTTACTCCTGAAGTTTTTGTTCTCCATCTAGTGATGATGATGGACTTTCCAGTTTTTCTACGAGTACATGTCAGTTCCAGCTCCAAGCAAACTGTAGTGCCACTGAGGGAAAACAAGGCAATTGTGTGTAACAGAGTAATTGCTAAAACAAGACTCGGCTCATTGAAGCAGAATTTAATCTGCATCTGACAGCGTTGCAGTTCCTGTTTTTGCTCATTGGTATGTAAGTTGTGCCAGTGCCAGTGACCTCCCAAATCACAGACCTGATCCAACCCTTATTCTCATCACTGGTCCAACTCGTGGCTATGGACTTTCCAGAATTTAAGTTTGTGAGCTGAGCGGTTTGTGGTCCAATCTGTGTTTCAGTTACAAGGAAAATAAGGTGTTTGAGAAATATTTCTGGGAACTGTCGTCACATAAACACAGTGTGAAATTAAAAACATGCACACAAGGTCATAACTCCTAGGAATTCTGCGATACCAAATCATAGTTAACGTCACTGAATGAGAAGATGGACAACTACACATGTTTGTGAGAATGTTTCCCCGAGTCCCTTTCCATCTGTGCCTTATTATATCATCACTGCAGTTTGTACAGGTGGAAGAATTAGCTCATTGCTGTAAAGTCCAATATAAACAGGGAAAGATGTAAATGGTAACAGTTCAAGTTTGTTTAAATTAGCACAAGGTTCAAGAAGGCAAGATGTTTAACATCAGCCCTGACCTATTTCTGTTTGCAGGGCTGCAGTTTCATCCAGCACATATAAAAATAATACTAAAATATTTTCACATAATAATAACAAGTACAAATTTGCAGGAATGACATCATCACTATTATCCTGAGTAAACATGAAAAGCTACAACTGCAGGTTTTTTGGTACAATTATTTGAAAAAGAAGCCATGGGCCATCTGTATGAGTATTTAAAGTATTTAAGCTGGCACCCAAACCTAGAGCAACTTGTGTATGTGGCAATATGTCTTGCCCAGGAGCACATTAGCATTAGCCTTTGAAGCTAGTAAGGAAACCTTTGACCTTTAGCCACCTTCGGTGTCAAACTCAATCATTCAAGGTGTTGAAGTTGTGGGCAAACACAATTAACATTTATAAAACAAGAATGATTTAACCATAACAAACTGCTTCCTCCTTAAAATAAAGACAAAATGAAATTTAAAATACACATAAAATGTAGGATATGTCTCAAAATAAAAATAAAAACTGTACTTTTGAGTTACAATTGGAATTAGAGATGAATAATTGTGGGTTACTCACTACACATTTGTCACACACACACACGCATTTTCCCATTGCATTTTACCACTACACATTTGCACAGAACTTAAAAAAAACCATACGCATGTTAAGCTCTGGTGGACCGCAACATATGGCGTGATGGGCAAGATCTACGTTTGAAACGGGTCTTAGGCATTTTTGTCTGAAGAGTCCCCACCACTTATCTACAACAGTAAGGAACTACTGAAAACAAATCCATACAACACTGTGTCCAGTACACATCTACGATTGGATGTTGACCTTTAATAGTTCAAAAGTCCATGATGGGTCACCAGGTTAAATAGTACTTCAGCTCTGCCAGTAACAAAATCATTGATCTGATACCCCCATCCTCCCCCTTTATACCACATATTTTTTCTTCTCTCTCCTCCTTCAGATCTGGGAGTGTGCAGAACCACTGGACTGAAATCTACCACTTTGTCGAACATCTAGCTCAAAAATTTATCAGGTAAAAATCAAGCACTTGTGGGAAAACATGCAACCAGACCTGATTTTTTTAATCCAAACAGATGTTTTTTTTTTCTCATTGTCTTTCCCCAGTCCACAGTTGCGAATGTCTTTCATTGTGTTTTCCACTGAAGGAACGATCTTAATGAGATTGACAGAAGACAGGTGGGTGCAGATTTCCTTTAAAAAACAAAGAAATTCTGAGTTTGAAAAAGAAATCAGTGCTATTCCAGATTGTTTCACAGGCTACACAGTTAAAATTCTTTGAGGGATTTAATGTTCAAGTGCATTCACACAGATATATTCTCTCACTGTGACTTCACTGCACTGGTGTTGGACTGGACGGTTGCTTTGTCTAATCTTTCTGACAACGCAGCCACATGAATATTTCACTGCTTCCTTCATATCTCATTCTACAAAGGACTAATTTCCTGTCTATCTGCGTGACAGTATCTGAAGCCAACTCACACAGATACTCGTTAAATGTATTCATCTGTTACACTTTGCTGATATTTCCTGCGGGTCAGGCCCGTATGGAAACTGTTATCCTGCTACCACGCCCTGCAGCGTCTAGCTTTGGTCGAAATATTGTTCATAAGACAAACAGACTGAATCAATATTCATTTAGATCTGATGATCAGAAATGTAGTTAACCTCCTTGTTGGCATGTCTACTCAGGGAACGCATTCGCAAGGGTCTGGAAGAGCTGCAGAGGGTTCAACCAGGGGGAGACACCTTCATGCATGAGGGCATTCTGAGGGTGAGTTGTCTCAAAGCTGACTTCTGCTTTGTTTCCAAAATATCTCCTTCAAACCAGACTTTAGTGTCCAGCCCATTAAACTATTTTTTTGGTTCGAGTCACATACGTTTGTGCTAGAAATTTTTTTACTCTTTCTTTTTTCCCAGGCCAGTGAGCAAATATATTATGGAAACACCGAAGGTAATGACTTTAAAATAAAAGTATTCTGTATATTTATCCAATATGGATCAAATGGAATGGAATGGAATGAGAAGTGTGTGATGTTGATGAATATTGTAGTGGAGCATGCAGGACTTGTAGTAGCGCCTCAGACATTTTGATATGCCAAAAGAAGGGTAAAAGTTGGCAACATTTAAGTCAGCATTTAAGTTAGCTTAATAAACTGACTTAAAGCTTGACTTAAAACCCTAAAAAATAAGAAGTTGCTTGTTGTTTTTCTTTTCAAGTTTTGTCACCTTTACACAGTTGAATTTATATAATAAAAATATTGCTGTAACAGCACACTAATTTTATTTTTAACACAGCATTTAACATGTATTCATTGTGCCCCCTGCAGGAAAGTCAAAGACAAGCTTTATGCTCTATATCAACACTAGTATAATATCAACACTAGAGTTGAATATCTTATCTTTATGTGTCATACCTCAAACCAGTGCTTACTAGAGGTAGGGTGGTTGACAGGACTGGTCTGTTTCTGTTTCTCAGGTATATCACAAACACTGTATCTGCACAGTAAAATATCAGTACAATTTATACTAGATATTTGTGAAGTTTCTTTTGCGGCAGCAGTGAGTAAACTCTGTCTGTTGCAGGTTATCGAACTGCCAGTGTCATCATAGCTCTGACAGATGGAGAGCTGCACGAGGATCTGTTTTACTACGCTGAGAGAGAGGTGAGGAAGCTCAGGGAAAGATCAGTAATGTGACACGTGGGGGTCGACTCTGAAGGATTATTAGCCATTCAGGGCATTTTGTCTTCATGCAAGTTCATTGCTGAACAACTAAGACATTTTTAAAATATTTATAACATGTCTCATACATTCTGACTTGATTTTCAAGGTATAAAATATGAATATTTCAGACAATTTCTAAAGCCCACCTTAGCATAATAATACTGTTTAAAAATTGAATAACTACCTTGGAACTGCTTCTTTAGGAGATAAATTTCAACTAAAAAAAAGAAGTACAGTATATAAAGTTAAATAGAGTGAAACATAAAACAGGTCTGTCCAAAGACTTGTGCACATCTCTGTCTTTGTGATTTTTGTGGTCCATCATGTCCAAAGTGATATATTCAGTAATGTCACTGTAGACATGATGGACCACATCAAACACTGCCACTCAATATATAATCATTATGATTCTCTTTTCATTTGCACTGACTCTGTCACATCAATCTCTCCTCACAGTTGCTACAAAATCTAATAGTAAATTAAAAAGATTGCAGCACCGGCTTTGGTGGAACGTGATGTTGCTGAGCTTGTATAAAATTCTACTTGAGATCACAGAAAAACAAGCATGTTTTCTGTGTCTGGTTGATGTTGTGGAATTTAGGAGTATGTAATCGAAGCCAGTTGTTGATTTTCTTCTTGTTTTCTTGCTCTCATTCCATGTGCAAACATGTCAGGCCAACCGTTCCAGAAGTCTGGGTGCCTCAGTTTATTGTGTGGGGGTGAAGGACTTCAATGAGACACAGGTGTGTGTCTATGTGTGTGTGTTTTAAATACTATTTTTTGACATTTGGTACTTAGAAGCAGCAAAGTAGATAATGAGACAGCAAATTGGAAAGATGTTGCAAATCAACACAATATGATTTGAAAGAAAAACTGAAACAATTTTTTGACGCAGCTTCAGCAACAAATTACCCCAGGTTTGAACATTCTCCTATTCATCACAATCAAATCCTTCACTTCGATTGAAGCTAACAAAGAGCCATTGCAGTCACAGTTTTCTGTGCAATGCCAACTCTTTTGTCTTAAACCGAGTTTAGTTACTTGTCAAATTTCATCTGTGGAACAATAATTAGAAACCTTCTTTTCTACAGTCTGTAGTTGCTTCGATAGACTGCTTGGAAAACATGGAAACTAAGCCTCTAGGTCAGAGCTGATAATAACACAGCACAAACATCTAGTTCAACTGTTGTTATTCTCAAGTAACTAAAAAAGAAATTGCATATAAAACAGTATGATAAATAGATAAAATACCACAAGGGCAAAATTAAATGATGTTTGACATCCAGTCACAGGCCAGATGTCAGGGGCTGGGAGTTAGAAAACCCCTGCCCTAGATCTTTAGCTGATTTTAGAAAATAAATCACCTGATGTCTGATCAACAACACAGTGACTGAGAATAATGTTAACACTGATGTATTAATCTATTTTCTCTATAGCTGGCAAAGATTGCTGACAGCAAGGATCAGGTCTTTCCTGTAAACGATGGATTTGAGGCTCTGCAAGGAGTTATCGATTCGGTGAGATTTTCACTTTTGTCCATGAGCACAGTGAAGTCAAACAGTATAGGGTCACAGGCAGCAGCAGCTACTCAGTCCACACATGTCCACAGCTCCAGTGTAATACTTCTTATGTTCAAAATGCTAGATGCTTCAGTAAGGTCACAGCAACTATGACAGTAAACTGCATGAACTGATGCCTCTGAAACAGTCAAAAACAACACGGTCAGTGACATTAGAGCAGGAGAAAAAAATACTGAATTTTTGTTTAGAGTTTAAAGGCAGCTGCTAGAGACTTTTCTTTACTTATTGACTTGACACCACCTGCGAAACCTAGAGTAGTTTTGACTGTTTTACAGGGCCGATGATTTTAATACTGGCATAAAAGACACAAGAATTCTGTCACAGATACACTCTGGATATACCGTAGTTTTTAACATAAAAACAAGTAGGAACAGTAATCATAAGGATTGGACTGAAATCACAATTCAGCCTGGCAACAATTGTATCTGTGGGTTGCATCATTGTCACTTGTTTCTTTTTTTTTCTTTTTTTTTTTGCTGTAGTCCATCACAGGGGCTTGGGCCATGAATAAAAATCTTTACACTAAACATTAAAATTAATCAAATAAAAAGACAAAATATTCCATACATGGCCCTAGACCCCAGACTGAATTCCAGGCGATCTTGTTGTGGCTGTGACTTTTCTGTTTTTCATCAGCAAAGTCACGTCAGAGCCAACTGGAACAAAATGCGAGTGGTGACTCTGAGTGCTGTTGACTTTTCTATGCACGAGCTCAAGAAATGAAAAACAGCTTGTGATGTAGAGGATAGGAAGTCTTTTAAAACACAGTTGACCTGCAGCAAATTAACAGAGAATATGGAGCTGTTTCCTCTAATCACTTTCAGAAACTGAGGAGAACAATATCTCTGATGAACTCGAACTTCTCATCTCCACAGATTTTGAAGAAGTCATGCATCGAGATCTTGGCAGCAGAGCCGTCCAGTATCTGTGCAGGCGGTAAATAATTTTCCACCATCATACTTGTGTTATGTTTAAAAAGTAAAAGGAAGCAAAGTAAAGACGTATTTCACGTATTTGTGCTTATACACACATTATCTGTTCCTGTGCCATGTGGTTCAACCCAGACTGTGTGAAAAACAGCTATTTTCATTTATTTACTTTCAATATATAGTCTAAACTGTGTGGCCAATTGGCTTCCTTTTGTTTAGATAATGAGTCATTAATTGTTTAATAGTTTTGATTTTATTCACCTCTCTCTGACTCTTTATCAATTTTTTTATTGTTTTATTCCCCCTTCTCGGCTGAAGACCAAACCCCAGTTTGCTGAAGCTATCTCTCCACAGTGTTTTTTTTACTGGTCACATATCCTCCTTCTCTAAACAGTCTATCATCTATCTATCTATCTCTAGAGTCTTTCCAGGTTGTGGTGAGAGGAAATGGATTTCTTCATGCTCGAAATGTTGATAAAGTCCTGTGCAGCTTTCGAATCAATGACACCCACACTAAGAGTGAGTAAATCTGTATTCTACCACTAGTGGGTTGAAACCTCCTTTGACTTTCAAAACTCCTTTAAATCCTCTTCAACATTTTCTTCAAAGGCATGACAAAAACATTCCTTTCCAGATTCTGGTCCAATAAACAACTCCAGTTGGAAATATACCAAATTCAGGTCATGGTAACAAAAGGTTTGCACTCTGCGACATGCTGTGTCTGACGAAAGTAGCTACGCAGTGGTCTTAAACTCATATGAGCTGAGGGAGACCACTGCCTCCATCATTTAACTAAAGGAAGGAAAGTGAACTCCTTGTCATTGTGACATTGTGACACACACCACTGCACACAACAAAATGTGACACCTACAGTACTATTAACCCATCACCAAAGTGAACAGTGGGCAGCTTTGAGTGCCCGGGGAGCAGTGTGTGGGGACGGTGACATGCTTAGAGCACCTTGGCAACTTGGCAGCTGGTGGAGTCTGCTTCCTTAACCACTAGGCCACCACTGCCCAGGTCCTATAGGGCCATCTCAGTGTTAGCTGTTCAACAATCTCCCCTTACCCCCTTACTCACCGTTCCATTCTATTATCACAGAAGAAATGAGAATCATCCAAATAGACAATGTTTGAACTTCAGTAAGTCCTGCTTTTATTATCGCCATGTGAATGGTGCACTGAATATTTGCGCTCACTACCACTGAACAGGTGTCGCACCCCATAAAGTGGGCAATTAGTATTTAGTTTAAAATGAAAAGAGCTTGAGTTAACATTTGTAAAATTCAACTGACATACCAATAAACTTCTAAAATCCATACCACTAAACTGGACACAGAAGTACTTTAGCTGCTTTCACTGCTATCATGTCATTTAAACAACAGCCTGTGCAGTTTTACTGTCTATAAAATTTCCAGAATGAGAGCCACCCACCAGGCAGACGGAAGTAAAAGGTCCTGGGAGTGAAACAGTTTTCCCCACAGTCTTTATTGTTGGCTTACAGTGTTAGTTATTAAACCCACTTCCTCACAGGCACAACACAGTAGCTGCATGAAGTGCTGTTTTAATTACAAAGTGTGAAATGCAGCAGAGCCAATGCACTAACCTTGCCTTCACTCCTTTACTACCAACACATTTTTGCCATTGTTATTTGGGAGACAACAGTTTGTCCACCTTAAACTGTCTTTAATAAATTCCATAAAAGTTTCTTAGATAAATATGTTTTCTTAATGCAAAAAACCTTTAAAAAAGCTTTACATTACCAACTCAGAGACATGTAAGAACCAGGGGGAATTATCTGTAAAATTAGCCAATCCAGAAGGATTCCCTATCGCTGCGACATTAGGAAGAATTTCCCCAAAAAAGCGAGAAAAAATCTCATTGCTTACATTGTCCAAAATATGGTTGTTACAACCGAGGTACTACACGGACAAGCATTTCTGAAGACACAACACAACAAATTTTAAAGCAAATGGACTGCAGTGGCACAAGATCTCAGTAGAGGTCACTCTACTGGGCATACAGTAACCACATGCTCTCTAAGCTTTGACAAAAGAAAAACATTGACTGGTTCCATATGACTCTCTGCTGAGAAATGTTTACAGCATTTTCCTACATTGACGCTACGTACAAAGAATTTAGGTGGGGGAAAGGAGTTCCACCTGGTACCCGCCTGGTGTTCCTAGAGAAATATTAGCGTGTGTACATGTAACATGTACTGCACAGCATGTCATATTAGCTAAACAAAGGGACTAAATGTTGCATTTCAACAAAGGGTTCTTTAGTGTTTAAATCCACATTTAATACTACATGTCATAATCCACCAACAACAAAGAGTTTTGTCAATCGGAATCAAACATGAACGAAAACTAACAGGGAATAATAAACAATGAAACAATTTAACTTAAATTATCTCCTCATGTCCAGCCCCACTGTAATTCATTCTTCCTACAAATCCACTCTCTTTCGTAAACTTCACACAACTCTCTGGAATTCATTTACTTTACATAACAGTTTAACTTTAAATTCAAGCACTTAGACCATATTTAGCCCCGTGGAAGAGTGGCGATCTGTGGAATCCAGCTTTTTCCTGACGTCCATTAAAAATCCGATCCAGATTCTGTCTGAACCTTTGAGATATATTTTTTGTTTTTTGGAGGAGGACTTGCATGAAATACAGACATATGGTCTGTATTGTCCTGCTAAAAATGATAAAATATCCAGTAAACAAATCAAAGAGTTAAAGCCAATGTAAGCTTTTTTTAACACACTTTTTAGCTGAAGTGATAAGCTGGACAGGGGAATGCCAGGCTGGGGTCATAGGTCAAGAACCTCACTAGGTCTAACTAATGTGGAAAACTAGAAAAAACTAGAGAACAGACTTAAACTGATCAAAGCTCATAACATGCCACCTAAATGTGTTTGTATTGGAGGTGAACAGCTTCACAAAACAGTGGGTGCTCTGAGGTATAGCACATAAGCCAGAGTACCATCAACTCGTCTAGCAGCACTCAAACTAAGACAGGTGTAGACTTCTAGATTTCCATAAACTCAAAGGGTTAGCAGTTGCTAACTTGTCCTCATTGATAACAATACATTTCAAACATGCTAAATAAAGAAGACAGCAGCAGCAGGAACAGCATGTAACTGAAAGCTCACATGTGCAGAGCAGATGAGTGCATGTTTGAGTTGGGTCGCCAGGAAAAAAGTAGCAGAAAATACAGTCAGACGCGCAGGGACTTGGCAGGTCCCCACTTCAGGCTGTTCATTGTTTTGGTGACAGATGTTGCAGTGGACAGACAACACTGAACTGTATAAATTATAAGCAATGTGACTCAAATGAATAGACTCTCTGTTCAATGTCTTTGTATTTCTTTATACTTTCTACTCCAGAGAAAAAAACCTTATATTCTCTCAAAGTCATATAGTCTCATACAAAGTGTTTGTTAAAGCACTAATTACAGCCTGTAGTACCTGAAACGTACAACTTGATAAATTACACATTGCCTTTCATTAATTGTTAATGATAAGTTATGTTGACTTCCTCCCAGCATTCTACATTTATTACACTTGGCAACTGCCTGTGCCTCGGAGTGAAACTCAACCGCCCTGGACTTTGGAAACAAAGAGTCCAATGAAACACAGGGACATGGTCTAAATAAATCTGCCTTCATGCGTCTTCTTTTCACTCCAACCAGTTACACTGTGTAAATCTGCAGACTGCAGTGATCGCAGGAGATCTCTTCATGGCTCTGGGCTTTATACTGAAATGTTCAGTTATGAAGCAGACAAAATGCCAACTAAGGCCACTTTTATTAAAAACAATGCTATCAACTTATTAAAATCTTACCCCAAACAGGGGAAAACATCCAAACTACGAAAGCAACCTGTGCCTCATAAACAAAAACTTGATGATGAACTCGTTCTGTATCGAAGTCAAGCAAATTCAGTTATGGGGGAAAACTACAGTGTGTACCTTACATTTAGCACTAGACCAGTAAGTGTCACGGTGGAAATTTGATACATGTGACTTAGGACTATCTTATAAATCTATCTGACCCAATTTTGGCTCAAGAGGCGTGTGGAGCAAGAGAGAGAGAGAGAGAGAATTAATTTATACTGCCAATATAAATTATTTTCTACATTATCTCTCAGAGACAGGTCTGTCAGAGCAAAAATACATTTTTTCAACTGGTATTATCCTAGCCACAACTGTTGGAATGTAAATGCCATATTTAATACTATTCAGTTGAATATATGTATATAAAGAAAACATCCAATGTATTGGTGTGAACCCTGATGATAGGTTTCATTGGTTAATGTCCATGGAATTGTAGTCCAGCCCTGGTGTCACCATTTCTTTTACAGTATCTCCCATTAAAGGAAATAAAATAGGACACAAAAGATGAAATTTGTTGAGCTAACTCTGAGCTAGTCCTGAGTTAGCCCTGAGCTGGCTCTGAGCTAACCATTTGATCCCTAATGACTCTCCAAGGATTTATTTAGGTTAGGTCTGAGTATTGATTATTTTTTATTCCTTGGATGTTTTTGCAGTGTAGACTGTCTGTATAGATGTCCTCACTACTGGGGAATGCTATGCTTGTCCTGCTGCGAGGACAAAGAGACAGACAAACTGGGGCGAAAATGCTTGTTAGAAGAACAACTGGACACAAAGAATAAGAAAAAAAAACAAAAGCTGTGAAGAAATAATTTTAAGTAGTGTTGCTGTCGGGCGAAGACAGATGTCTTCACTCTGCTGACATCAAGGCAGCATTTTAGTGAAGAAAACCCATCTTTGCAGAGAGTGTGTGACAGCATCTTTGCACACACACATATGGATTCTCACTTCAGAAAGTCATGTGACATTAATCAGTCACTAAATGGATGTAATCTTTCTGGCTAATGATTTAATCTGAAAGGCATCTTAGGATGGATTTGTGGGTAAATGACGGCTTTAGAATCTTGGTGCTGTATGTTGATGATTCAACAGACTATCACCACATCACCACTGGAATACTTGGCTGCTGCACACACTGTTTTTTTTTTCTGTTTTTTTTTTTTCTTTTTACAATTCCTGTCCCTATTCTCTTTAGTGGTGAAGCCCTTGATTGTGGAAGATACATATCTTCTCTGCCCTGCTCCAGTGCTTCAAGATGAAGGAATGTAAGTCCTAGAGTTTATTCAAATGAATGTGTGGTTTTCCACATGAATGGCAGCTGAGACCTTTATCCTTCTTTTTTTTTTCCAGGGCTGCAAACCTTTACGTCAGTATGAATGAAGGGCTCAGTTTCATCTCCAGTTCAGTCACCATTACCACTGTGGGATGTGTGAGTACAGTGAAATGTTAATTAAATTAAACACAGTCAGGTGAATCTAAACCCATTAGATCAGAGTAGCAACAGTGCCTACTTTATTATAATCGTTACCAAAATGGAAATAGGTAACAGTTACAAAAGAAGAATCTCATATATATAGCAGCATATACTCTGTTTCTATTTTATCTTGTGTGGTGTTTTATTAGATCAGGTTTTTCAACAATCATACATTTTGAATTTAAAACAATCATCCATATTTTTAGGTTAACACTTCGCGGAAAATTTATTGGCAGCTCCATCTGATTTGATCCAGCTAAAATTACAATCCTTAGATGAAACAAAGACACAGGTCATGACATGGTGTGAAAAGACATCGCTCAGAATTCTACAAAGAAAGAAACGTTCTGAGGGAAACACTGCTATCCGTGTAAGTGTTTGACTTACATGGATACATAAGATATATTATATACATTCATTAATTTGTCTTTGAACCTTTTTTTTACCTTCTATCTTATTATACATTGCTCAAGATTTAAGGAATGGATCTGAATCAGCTCTAAAATATAACTATAATTTATAGTTAACTAAAACTATAACCAGAACCAGAAAAACAACTAATGATAAAAATGAAATGATGGATATAAATTAATAATCTAAGTAGTCATTATCTTTAATTAGTAATCTTACAGGGGTTCAAACAAAAAGGGCTACAGTTATTTTTGGTTGATTTGGTTTTACATCTTCAAATACTCTGTGTCTATGTCACCGCTACAGTCTGATGGCACCATCCTGGCCATAGCTCTGCTCATCCTGATGCTGCTCCTGATATTGGCTTTGCTCTGGTGGTTCTGGCCTCTGTGCTGTACTGTGGTAAGTTCGAGACACAAATATGGCAAAATATCATCAAATGTTTGCATTTGTACTTTAGGTACATATAAATAACTAATATACATTCTGAATGCTGCAACTTCACCATCTATACTGGCTAACTGTACAGGGAACGCCGTCATTTGCTGAGAACCATATATTTGGAAATGAAATGAAGAAATGTACTGTACTGATGCCACATTGTTCTAGACATCTGCTTTAATGTGATCAAGACCATAATAAAATGGCACATGTGTTTTGGGGCTCTCTTCTGTGGCGCAATGAGACAAATCTAAACCATTTGGGCCTTGGGTCAGCAGTATGTTTGGAAGAGGAAGAATGAAGCATTTGCTCTCTTTCAGAACCCCAAAATCATTTGTGATATTTGAAGAAAATATGTAGGATACATACCCAGAAATATGACTGAAAGGACGGCCAAAGGAAATGAGGAATTCAGTAAATGGGACAAGTACGGCTTGTACTATAGGGATTTAAATATTATGCTCTACCTAAAGATGATTCTCATGAAAAGGGCGGATGTGTGGTCAACCCTACACAGATCACTAGTCCATATTGGGTGAACATATACATACAAACAGTTATTCAGATTAACATACCTAGGGTCCAGTTAATTCCAAATCTGCATAGTTGTGGACTATGGGTCAAAATCCAAGTGTCCAACAAAACCTAAACAACAAACCCACACACATCCAAACACATCCAAACTAAAACCAGCATCCCTTGTTCTTGCTGTAACACAAGAGCACTGACTGCTCTTCCAGTGTAATCATGAAAACAGCAAAAGTTTTTAAAATGTCACAGTAAATCCTGAACTGCAATAGAAAAAAGAAAAGAAAAAAATAATGTCAGTTATTCATTGCATGGTGGGATATTCTTGTAACCCACACAGGCTGCCACAGGAGGCGCCATTACGTATGTGGTCCCTATAGAGCTCAATACCAGGACCTTCTGTGTGTAAGGCAGATGTGTAAGGCAGGCGAGATAACCGCTACACTGTGTTCATTCTTTAAATTATATAGGTAAAAATCACTTCAGGGATAAGGACAACAGGACAGACATAAGAATATCGTTTCCAGGTGCACGTTGTCTGGCAAACACCCCCTTGAGGCATCTTATTAACCTTATCGATACTCTCATGGTAAGAAGGTTAGACATGAATCAACACGAACATTTGGCTCCACTGAGGTGATGTTACTTCAATCTCTGAAGGTTAAGGCGTTTCCACGGACATGTGCTCAAGCAATTAAGCTGCTGTGGAATCAATCTGCATTTCCGAAGTTCAAAGCCAGTGAACTTTGAGTCTGACCTCTCAACACCTTCTTTGTACATTCACTGGAGGACAAACACCATAAAACTAAAACCAACTATCTTGGGCGATGTCTGTTTTAAATGCCATCTGTTCCGTACGTGGAAGAAAGTCTTTATCATCTTGTGTCTGTGCCCTGTGGTCAAACTGGCAGCATCACAACGTTCTGACAATCTCTTTCGTAGGCTACTCTGTGTCAAACTCTGTATTTCTGTACTTGAAGATTCAACAGCCATCCCAAAGTTTCCAGCGCTGGAAAGAGAGAACGGAGGTTCTGCCAGAGAAAGATGTCAGCGTTTACAGCATGCCTGTCCCTCCCATTACTGTTTCTGTTCTTCTCCATTTGCTTGCAATGTCTTGCAAGGCAGTGCAGCAAGTCTGTTTAGGAATAGTGATGCTAGGTTACTACGGGGATTGTTGCATCACATCCCAGCATTTGGAGAAGCGTAGAGGAAAATCTGAGATTGTAATTAAGTACAGTTTATATTCCAAGTTCTTTTAAGGCTTAATTTAATTTGAAGGGTAAACTAGGACAGTAAGTAAGACTGCACAGTGAATATGCTTAGTCTGTGCTTATAGACATAGCACATGGTCCGGAAATGGCATTAATCCAATAGGAACAAATACAAACAGCTATGAGTGTAAACACTGATATCTACAAGAGTAATGTTTGCAATCCTTTTTTTTCCCCTTTCGATTGGCCTCCCCCACACCAAAGTAATCTGCCTTGCAGATTAATCCTAGGTTAGTTCATTTCTCCTGGTGGAAAAGGGAAAAAATGCCCCACCATATGTGTTGTTGTGCAACTTCCTGATTGCACACAATTCTCAGTAACACGCAGAGAATTCTGGTGTTTGTCTGCTAATGTATAACAACACCCTGCTTCTTTCTTCTCTGACGCTGGGTTGTGTAATTGTGTGTGTCAACAGATCATCCATGAGCCGCCACCACCACATGTGGAGGAGAGCTCGGTAAGAACTGCATTTTATTGACCATGTTTTTTTTTCTTTACTGCTCCATAAAAACTAACCTGAGTCATTTATGTTAGATACTGAGAAACTGAATTTAAGACTGTATCACTGTGAAACACATTCTCATCCACAATGGCTTTTTATTCAAATTCAAATATAATGTCATATAACCTACCATCATATAATGCAATATTTTATAATACAGATATAAATACATAAATAATAAATACATAATATTAATATAAAAACTGTCTGTTGAGGCAAAATGTGTATTGTGAATGTTGGGCTACATAAATAAAACTGACTTGACTCTGTATTCACCAAATGACAATATTAAAACATTTCAGACCTAAGAGATTTTAATGAGTAAAAACCATCAAGTGCCAGTGACCGATTGCATTTTGGAATTTAGGATCAAAATGCTATAATATAAAATCCAGTAGTAATCAATGTGGGATCACATGTAAAAAAAAAGTCTGCTGAACAATTATAGAGCAAACCCTTGTTGTTAGAAAGTAAAACTTTGGGACAGTGATAGTGGATGGGTACAATCTGAACGTGCTCAAAATATCTTTGAAAATGCAATGCAACATAAACAGGACAGATAACAAACTGTATAAAGTATACCTGGTAGTTTTACAGGTCGTGGCTGTACTGCACTTCCACTGTACTTGAGGAGTATTTGAGTAACATTTTCGTTAAAATCTAAAAATGTTTTCTTGCAGTTGGAAAGGGATGTTTAATAGAAATATGTAAGTCAGGCTAAATGTTTTGTCCTCAATATCCATTTGGTTTTGTGTTGGACTCTTTATTAACTCAAAAAAAAAACAAAAAAAAACTGGCATAGCCGCTTTCCCTTTATGACCACTGCACTGTGCTCCACTGTGGCTGAAACCAAGCACTGTTGCACTTATTGAATGATGGATGTTGTGTGAGTAAACGCCCTTTTACAATAACAATGACACATCGATTTTTATTGTTCTGCTTCCCGTTCTCTGTTTTCATCAGGACTATGATGTAATCAGCAAACCTTTATTCATGTTCAACAGATTTCCTCTGCTGGAGCAGCATTAAACTGACGATTACTTCATTAATTTGGGGACAGATAAAATTGCACTGCCCAAAAAACAAAGCATGACGTAGCAAAAAGTTTGCATGCAAGGGCAGTCGGTTTGCTTTCAGCTGCACACATTTAACCCTATAATTTGGGTTTAGTGGAGCAGAGGTGTGAGGTGGTGTATTTATGAAAATTGTCACACACATTAATCTGTTTCATTTTATATTCTGTTTAATATCAGCATGAATTTAAATAAACTGAAAACTAATTATGTTACTAGGAAGAAATGCTTGTATTTTTATTTAAATTTTGACAGAAACAAGATGGTAATTGTAGCTACATCTAATGGTTTGACATTCTCTTACAGGATGATGAGGATAATGAAACCCCCAAAAAGAAGTGGCCAACAGTTGATGCCTCATACTATGGAGGAAGAGGAGTTGGAGGGATTAAAAGGATGGAGGTGAGATCTTCTCTGTAGAACTATTCTAAAGAGTGGAAACTATTTGCCATGCAACTGTTGCAGTAGAGTTTTAAATGCAGTTTTTAAATCAAAGACACAATTCTATTGTTGGAGAAAAAAACAAAACAAAAAAACGTTATAGGTATATTATAGGAGGTACATATTTTTAAACCACATTGTCTTTTACACAAACTATTAATGCAACATGATCGGGTTTCTACCAAGTTAAAGCTGTTTTCTAAACAAATGTATTTTTTAATAGGAGAACAAAACTGTTTTTTTGCAAAACAGTCTAAGCCACTTTCCAGCTTAATTCACACATCATTCGTTTTTTAAGGTTTAATCAAACATACACAGAAGTGCCTCACAGGGAACAGATTTATGTGGCATTACACATTACACTGTTTTGCTTCATTCAAATATCCCCATGTGGTTTCCCCTATTAATAGGTACGCTGGGGTGAAAAAGGTTCCACAGAAGAAGGAGCAAAGCTGGAAAAGGCCAAAAACGCCAAAGTGAAAATGCCCGAGCAGGAGTACGTGGGGAGCACTTCTAGGGTTCTCAACAATGGCATGCAGAAACCCCCAGCACCACGCAAGTGGTACTCACCAATTCAGGTCTGCAGACCGTGTTTGCTGTGCATATGTTGCTTTCATGTCACAGCTAAAAATATAGACAAATATATTTGAATTATATGAATATATAAATTACAAGTTCCAGCTGTTAAACATGAGTGTAAATTAAGAAGAATTTGGAAAACATTTGTTCAAGGGCTTTCTGACAAAAGCAAGGCCTTCATTTAAATTTGAAAAGCATCCATGGTTGTTGAATAGCTCTGCTGGGACAAAGTGTTTTTTTTTTCTTCAGCTATTACCATGCTTAAGTCTTACTGTATGATGCACATCTGATACTAATCTAGCTGTAGGTATGCAAGTAATGGCCATATTAAATACTGTCACAAATGTAGCAGTTAATGTTTCGAGGTGATCTAGGTCAGGTGACCCCTGGCTGACGATCGCCTTCCTCCGGGCCTGCGTGGGTTAGAAGAGTAACTCTGAAGCCTCCTCAATCTGTGCAGGATTGTTAATAGGAACCAGACTCTAGCTGCACTGACCTCTGGGGAGCTGAGCTGCACAGGCAGCACTTTTGTTTAGTGAGGATAAAACAGCTGCATTATCTGCCCTTATTGCTAAAATATTTGCTGTATTCACAAGCATTGAGAGAGAGAGAGTGATCAGGAATAAGACATATAATGTGAGGAAGGCTCTGTGAAATGGCTCGGTGAGATGTGGGTCATTTTTCAGGCAGCTGGAGCGAACCGTGTGAAATAGTGTTCGAGAAGAGAGGACTAAAAGATAGTGAAAAAAATGATGCCAGACGTTTGGATTTCTGTCAGCATTAAAATGAGCATTTGTTTCCAATCTATCTCTCAAGTGTTTGGATTTCTATGTCTGTCTCTGCAGAGCAAGTTGGACGCTCTGTGGGTTCTTTTAAAGAAAGGCTACGACCGTGTGTCTGTGATGAGGCCTCACCCTGGCGACAAGGTAGGAAGAATGACACCAGTGGGGGCTGCACGTGGAGAATGCTGGGATATGTTGCTGAAACACTGGGATGTGGGTGGCAGCGTCTAGCTTTAATCTGCTAAAATCATTCTGAAAAGGCAAACGTAACAAACGTGTGAAAGCTGGGGGAGGGGAGAAGGTCATATGTGTTGCTTCAGCACAGCTGCCAGTGTGTGGTAGTGAGGAGAAATATCTTAGTGTTTACCGTCATCAAAATGCACGAGTAAATCAAACACAACACCAACAGAATCTTTGCAGCAATAAGATCCAAATTCAATTAGACTGATGTTGAACCAAATGTGATTTTCCATCAATTCCACAACAACTGCACTATGATGTAATACATACTGACAGATGGACAGTTTGAAAAGGTCTGAGGTTCATTTTATCTTTGTTTTGCCTAGTATTTGTCGTTAACTTAAAGATTGCGTCAAAGTCTTCACTTCGATAAGGCAGTTTGTGACTCAAGTCTGTTGGTTGCAGTTGTGCACATGCTGTGCCAAATAGCAGAGCCATTACACATTATCTCATCAAGAGTAACCAAAAGCATATGTGCATCTCTGTTCATCCATCCTTGACTTATCTAGACGTCCACAAGGGATGAGATGAGAAACACTGAATTGGAGAAAACGCTTTGCGTTTTTTGCATTTCGTGTTGACATTTCCTTCTTTTGATCCATCACTGTTTTATTGTAAACATCTTGTCTCTGACAACCATTGTCATAAAAATGTGATAACAGAGTGTTACAACCACTAAAAAGACACAGTCTCTTTACAATAACAGACATTTCTGGGTGTTGGAGCTACTGCTTCAACACAACAGGGTCTCAATTCACAATGTATCAGGACTGATTTGAGCTGGACCTGAGTGCTGACAACCCAGGCGGAGTTAATCCATATTCAGAACGGAAACATAAACCTAAGTGACTTTCAAACTTTGTTATCTGTGACTCAGATTGACTTAACTAAAGTCTGATTTTTACTGACTTAAAGTCTGGTTCAAAATTATAGACTCAGATCAAATCAGAGACTGGACTCAAATCCTGGTTGGTCGACAGCTTTTCCACAATGACTTGACGGTGAGTTAGAATGAGTTCACATGGGGCTGACTGTTATTTCTTCAGTAGCTTTGATTCTGACTTTTAAGCCCTGGTGATTGAAATGAAATGTTTTAATATGTACTTAACCATGGCTCTATTCTAAGCTTCTTCTTCTGTGATTTATACATAATCACTGGGAACAGAGTCGACAGGCAGTTTGGGGGTCCTTATCTGAAGCAGCAGGCAAATTCCCCTATTACTGGAAGAGTGCTTTTCATGTTGTGTAATTTTACAAAGGGAAAGCAGAATTAAAGTGGCCTGAATTGACCTGTCTTTTTGGAAACTTTTATAAACATTTTCATCAGACTCATTTGGAGCCAAACAAGCAATAAAATCTTGAAATCATTCCTAGAAGGACGTCAGGAATCAATTTGGGATTTTAAGACTTCAAATTGATCAGGGCAGGACTTAAAGTTGTTGTTTGTCCATAAACTGTGAACTGTGTCCATGCGACATCCCTGGCAGAACATAATGCCACCTACTGATGTCACATGGAATTAGCTCGGGGCCAGAGTGCAACACTGAACTGAATCAATATAACAGGAAAAGACCTTTACTATACATCTGTCTACAGGCTGACTGTAGACTGACTGTAGACTAGCTGCAGACTGACTGCACATGCTCTGAATTCCTTCAAACACACTTCTGTGACTGTACAAATAATGTAGACATTTTCCACACTGACCTGGGGGCAAGAGGAAGAGTGAAAGAATACAAAGGACAACTCTGAGAGGGAAATACTGAAGCCCACTGTGAATTAAGAAGAATTAAGTTGAAGAAAAGTAAAAGATAAAAAGAAAAAAAAAACACATGTTGGAGACAAAAGAGAAAACAAGTTCACTAGAGGAAGGAGATTTTTTAAAAAAGGTGAAAAGAATCTGTCCATGAAAAGATGAAAGCAACAGTTCCTGTGGACGTTCTCGTCTGTGGGTGGTGAATAAAATTATAGATCCAATAGTGTGGATAGTGTCGGACAGTCAAATGAATCAGAATCAGTGTTAGTGAAGGGGAAGGTACACATGAGGTCAACTTCAGATTAACCAATCATAACAGTCATGTCACGGCATTCAACATCCCAGGTCAACATTCCATGCTTTTGTTCACTACAGTTAGTACAGTGGAGTCTGTAATTAACTGCCAGTTCTTCATCAGTACTGTGGGTTGAGTGTCCTTGATGATCTACATAAACAAGAACGTTCTGCTTGTAATTAAACAGTCTCGTGTCAAAGCCTTTTTTTATGACTTCCCTTGAACCAATGAAGCAGTGGAAGGTTGGATGGGTTCTACAGACGAGTCTGACAGGAACTACAGTCAGGTTCCTGTAACGCCACATTTACTCCTGAGCCACTTAGGTCTTTATTCAGTTTGGGGTTAGTCATTATTAAGGGATCAGACACAGAACGCAGCAGAACAGAGAGGGGGCTTTGAACACCTATTGAACGATGTGCTGATAACTTTCTGAAATTTAAGGAATAAAATGTTGGATTTCTTTGTCCAAAGTGCATTTTTCTGCCTGAAGGTCATTTTGCCCCGGTGCCTCCTGGGAGCAGAATCGTCTTACACTTATCAGTCCTGAACAACTCCCTGATCTTCTCAGTGCAGATGTCCAGGGTGTTGTTTTTTCTTTTACCCTGACTGACCTCACTTTGGTTTGGATCAGTGACAGTGTTGACAGGTTAACGTGTCTTGCTGAGTAGAGCAAACACACATTAACTATAAAGAAATACAGTGATTATCAACTGAGATATGAGACTGTAATCTCTGCTTTGGTCACTGACACAAGTCATTTTGTTAATATATATATATATATATATATATATATATATATATATATATATATATACACCAGGTTCAGTCCTGGGAACCTTATTTTTCTTTATTAGACATATCAAATTTACACAGAGTAAAAAAACACACAATAGTTCAAATCTGATTATAATTTAGATGCTGTGGACAAAGTTACATTACTAACTACATTTAACTAACCAATGTCCTGTATACAGTCACAGTAATTGATTTAAACATGGCTGAAATTTGTGGTTGCAGTTATTTTTGGAGTTAAGCATTTTTGTCTGCTGTGTCTATACTGAAAAAAACAACAACTGTATATTGCATTATGTTCCCTGAGTAAATCCTACAAAAAGCAGCCTGATAATCCAAATGCTTTGTGTATCCTGCTCCCCAACCTAGCAGTGAGTAATGGAATATGTTTTTTAGTCAAATCTGGACTTTTGTATTTTCTGTTTTTCAGGGCCGATGCATAAACTTCACACGCATCAAGTCTCCACCTCCACGTTACCCTCATTACAGCCACCAATCACCTCCTATATACAACCCATCCAGCAGGAGTCCACCTCCGCCGCAGGGCACGCTACCACCGACCCCCAGCCGCCCACGGTCCTCTCCATCTTTCTCCTCTTCTGAGCTTCCACTGCTCCCTCCAACACCACCTCCGTGTTCCATTACTCCCTCTCCTCCCGCCTCTCCTCCCCCTTACACACCACCTCCAAACCTGGCTCTTCCTCCAATCACCATGCCGTCCCTCCCACCTACGCCCCCACCTTCTGGATCACCTACTGGCTCTCTCCCTCCTCCTCCTGGACGGGCTCCTCCACCTCTGCGTCCACCTCCTCGCCCCGAACTGTAAAGTTGTGACACGTGTTGCGAGAGAGAAAACTGGCAAGAATAACAAAGGCAACAGAGTGCAGTGACCAGCACATGATCATCCTTGATGACACAAAAGTCATGACCTCTCGCTGAGTGCCGGCTGCGGCCTTTCTGCCTCACGATGAAGCAGTAAAGACTTTTTCTTTCAGCTATTTGTCTACAGTGACTTTTGTACACATCTAGCCCAACGGTGCAATTATTTTGCTGTGATGCTTGAATGACAAAGATCTTCCCTGTGAATGAGGTCAGAGACACCAGCTCAGAAACAGTCATGGCTCTGTGAGCTGCTCTGTTAGGCCCTGTTGTCTCTTCCTGCAAAAGCACAGAATTTTGAATGAATCAGGTTTTTTTTTTTTTTTTAACATTAAACATTTGTTTTTAAAGTGATTCTGACTCTTGAATATGTGCCTGTGTTAAACTCCTGTCTCCCCTGCTTTGAAATAAGAAGAATTAAATCTTGGATTCTGAAAAGTTGAGCAATTGCATGTAAGTGTTTTCCCCTCTTTAATAACATTTTTATCTTGTTTGTTTCTTTCAGTTTTTGAAATAAAAACCTCTGGAACATAAATAAAAAAAACGTTGTTGTTTTAACTTCTATCACATGTACAGTAAACAAACTGAAAACAAACATTGCATATTTTCGTCACTGCAAACGCCATTTCCTAAAAATGTTTCTAATATGCCTATAATAATAATAACAATAATAAAACTAAGATTTTGTATTTTATTTGAGCATGACAAAATATTGCATGAGTTTTGAGAAAACTATCTCATGAACTGAGCCAAAACAAGATCTTTTAAGTTGAGTCTGGGTTTTAATATGTATTAACTTTATAAAATGTATTTTGGTGTCAATGTGTTAAAGCTGTTTAAAGTCAAGAAGGTTGACGTTTCCTAACTCTGGTTGTATGTTGTATTGAAATATCTGTTTGTGTTCATGGGGTCTCAATCAGGGTTTGGTATTTGCACAAATAATTAATAATTAATTAATATTGTGGCTAAAAACTTGTTTGTCAATCATGTGAGACAAAACTCTTGTTGAACGTTACATGTTTTCTTCCTGGCCTCATCTCAGTGACGGCTCGATAAACCCGCCTGATATCACTGGGATCACTGGGTTCAAACAGTCAGAGCAGCTGCACGCAAAACAGCAGTGAGGACCTTCTTCACTCATTGTTATGAGGGAAAAGGTTCAGAAATTGGCCAAATTATTCCAGATGTTCCTACAGTACGTTGCATTATGTCACATCCATGAATGCAGCGAGGCAACAAGGAAAATATTACGCCAAAAAAATCTGCAGGAAATGTCAACATTTTCTGCAGGAGGGACATACCGGTGATAATGACTTGTGACATAATTGGGGGACAGTTAGTCTGACAGGGAATCCAAAGGGCGTGAACACGAGAGGTCGATTTCATAACAACAATTTAGTTCCAATCACTTCATGTTTGGAACTAATGTGATTGAAGACAAGTCAAATCTTTGGAGAATAAAAATTCAGATAATAGAACAAACTACACAACATGCAGTGAAGAGATGTAACATAAACTCATAGTAATGTGTTCTACTGTTGACAACACAGTTCTCCTCAGATCAGATGTGTGGATGGGTTGCTGTATTTGTAGACGTCAGAGTCAACTTTGTCACATTTGTCCGTGTGCCGCTGATGGCTCTCAACTGAAGTCAATAACTACTGAAAAGAAGGTTTTAAAAAAGGTTCTTTTCTTGAGTTGTAAGGTTGAATTCCTAAAACACAAATGTGTTGGATTCGTTAACTGGACACAGCAGAGAAGGAAATTCCTCCTCATTTGCAGGAGAAAAAAAACACTGCTCTTCAATCCGTTCCAGGTTATTTAAACACTACGTTTTAGTGCAATGCATGAAATACTACTGTAAATAAAGCCAGAGATGCAGGTGTTCAGACCATGTACAAACATCCAGAGCCTGAATCACAGAATACCTCTGGCTCTGATGGTATACTGCTGTATTGATTTTCCTTTTTAGCATATGGTCACAGTGAGGGGCCTGGGATTCGTATGAGCAGAGGACCACTGCTCTCGTTGTCATTTCTCTGACAGGGCACATCAGGTATCAATTAAAAACACAAAAAACAGCCTGATATTTTAAGAAAAACTATTGTTTTTGTTTAATCCTTTAAATACTATGTAATAGTGCAAATAAGTACAATTAATAAATGAACAAACAAAACAATTGAAAATACATTTTTAAAATTCTGATTTGGCACATGGTCCACAAGTTTGAGATCTCTGGTCTAAGTGGACCAGACTGATAGTATTAATACTAATAAAACAATATACAGTAGAAATTATTTAAAAGTAATAGGATTTTAGCAAGGAAAGTGAACTCCTTGTCATTGTGACACAGCACACCACTGCACACAACCAAATAACCAAATGTGACCTCTGCTTTTAACCCATCACCAAAGTGAACAGTGGGCAGCTTTGAGCACCCGGGGAGCAGTGTGTAGGGACGGTACCATGCTAACCACTAAGCCACCACTGCCCCTTTCTCCTCTTCTTTTCTCCTTGTACACAAACACCTGCAGCAATCAGAACGATAAGCTCCTGAAGTTCGCGGATGACACCACCCTCATTGGACTCATCTCTGATGGGGATGAGTCAGCGTATAGGTGGGAGATTGACCGTGTGGTGACCTGGTGTAACTCATAGGAATAATTTAATTTAATTTATTTATATACCTTTTTATATACCTTCATGTACATTGTATCATTCTTTCGCTGCACTGTATGCCACAACAAATTCCTCATAGGTGAAAACCTACCTGGCAATAAAAACGTTTCTGATTCTGATTCTGATTTGGGTCAATACAAATCCAGAGGGAAAAAGTCCCACCCTTGATTGAAAAACATCATCTTAGGTTTATATAAAGAAAGAAGTACAATAACAATGGGCAAATGTAATAAAGTAACAAAGTAATCACAACAGTTACTGTGCTGAATTATGGATTACTATTATATTTCTGACTGAAACCTGTCCCACAAGCTGTAATCACTGACTTAGAATTGCTCAGTGACTACAGGTCAGATCTGGTGACAGGGTGCAGCTGTGTTCATTAAAGCCACAGCACCTGCTGCTGATCACAGTTGATCAGTGTTTGTGGGTGAAGACACTGAACTCTGCTGCTGCTGAACACAAGGATGATTCCTGACATACTTCTTTCACTGCTCACTTCAGATGAAAACCCACCCACAATGCACCAGGATAAAGAATGGAAGCTGCATTTGCTGAAAAATCTAGCGTCCTTCTATAATTACTCTCCAGGTGCAGGTGAAGTGGTGGTGTTGGTGACAGGCTGCAACGAAATCTTTCTGAAAACTGCCCTAGCTGTTACCAGATGCCTGAGTTTTTACCTGTCAACCATGCTGAGGCTTAACACGTTCTTCAGGTCAACACTCGCAGGTGGGCTCTCCTCCACAGAGGAGTCGGGCAGACGCAGAAGCTTCAGCTGCTCCACTCGGCCCTCGTCTTCATCATCACAGACATGCACAAACAGCGGCTGGTCAACAGAACATGACGGCGCAGCAGGAGGAGGAAAAGGAGGAGGAGCCGGCAGATCTGTGAACTGGTTAAAGTCAATCCGGTCACTGCTGCGTGTCCTGTCAGCACTTACCAAATATTCACTCTCTGCTGTCATGGCCACCCTGGCCCTCGTCCATAAGGCACCACTGCTCCTGTCAGCTCTGCACAGCAATGTCAGACTCACTGTCTCCACCATGAAGACTTTATATGAGTGCATCAGACCATTACTGCTCAGTTTATAGACTGACTGGCAGCTCCAGTACTTGGGGCCTGTCATCAGCCTGATCAGGCTCCTGAACCTGAGCTTTGGACTTAGATGTTCATGAACAACTGAAACTTTTAATCCTCTTGTATCATTTATAGTGTTTTTTATTTTATTATTATAATGTGGATGATGGGCTGCCCAGTCTAATAAAGCACAGCACAGTCTAAACAGTGTGATCTCATGAGCTCAGACACAGAAGCATGTATTTGACACTTTATTGCATCAGTTCCATTAATAGAGGACAGACTCACTCTGAGTTGTCTTGACATTAAAGAGAATTCAGTCCTTGCTACCAGTCAACAAATCAAAGTTTACATGTATAAGTGACTTAAAAAAATGACCAGCTTTGTCCAGTTTTTACATACTTTTAACAGCAGGAGTTCGATGTTAAAGAAAAGGGATGTAGACTAAGAGGTTAAGGCTTGACTACAAATGTAAGATGTTTCTTCTTGGAGAAAGGTTTGGTTCTCTTAACTACCCAACAATGAGCATCTGCAGTGTTTTCCTAAGTACACTTAAAACAAACAAACAAAAAACATGCAGTAGAGTAACAAAAGTATTAGCCCCATCCAAGAAAGTTTGATTTTCTTTACTTTAATAACTTCTACACAGAATGAATGAGTTTTATGATATTTTTAAATATAGAAACACTACTTGACGACACTGAGTTAATTTTTGAGAAACATTAATTTGACCATATTGATTTCATAAAAAATATATAGATTAGCCATTCTAAAGACTCCATGCTTTGTGTGCATTAAAACACCAAGCATCAAGAATGAAGTTTATCCAGGGCTAATAATTCGGTCTTTATTTGTAATGTGATGTTGAGACGATTCATCTACAGCTGTAACTATATGAGCTGACTGAGGTTTCTGATAGTCTCTCACCAATCTCCTACGATTAGAACAATTTTGGATACAAAAAAAAAAACATACAGTTATGTTTTGGTTTACAACAGCCACAGCTGTTATAGTTTTTTCTTTTTTTTTGGTTTGACAGAACACTTGACAGTAACATTCACATTTCAAATCAGTAAAAATCCAGTAATAAAAGCAGTAGAATCACTCATTCACTACAAATGGTCCTGTACTGCATCAGTGTTGGCGGAGCATGGGCTAGTGACTGGGAGCAGCTTTTCACCTTATGGTTTGTACCTTCATTTCGCTGTGATTACTTCAGTTTCTCAGATCTAGTGCAAACTGCAGGAACAGGAAGTTTCGGTAGTAATGTCACTCTGGTTTCTTCTCAGGCTAAAATTAAACCAGGTCTCTAAACTAAGCCTGGGGGCAACTGCTGCCCCTGACATCTCCTGTAATTGAAGGGCAAAAGACGAACCCAACTGGGGGTCAGACTACATTATACTGACTGGTTTGCAGCCCACAGCCTAGGGTTTTTGGCAGCCCTGCTTTGTATGAAGAAGAATAAGTTATATTTTGTATACACGTTATTATATTTGAGCTCTTGACTGCTGTAGTGTGAATGATGTGACAGCAGATTTGTACAGCAGACAGAGACAGAGAACATGAGCTGTGTGAAGACAGCACGACCTGCTGTTTGGAATGATTTAAGATGACCAGCGGTCAAAGAATAATAATTTAAAAAAAAAAATCCAAGCTGCAGTAAAATTAATTTCACTGAAGAAAGAAATACAATATAGTCGGTTTATCCGTAGTTTACTGATAGTTACTAAACTGGGCTGAGAAATAGAATAAAAACAATATTATCTTAATTTTCAATTTTAATATAAACTGACAGACCATTTCTTCTTCACCTTCTCATCATAAGGTTTGCACAATCTGAAAAGTTAATTCAGTTTAAAATGAATCTACTGCATTTTGTCACAAATGCAAAAACAGTTCTGGTCAGTGCAGAATTTTTAACAAAACCACAAACAAAAACAGTTAAACACAAAATACTAAAAACACTGTTTTTAGCAGAACTGAAAGTTTGAGATGAGTAATATTGCACTTTCCTCAAGAACTTGAATGTATCACTGATTGTTTGGGCCTTAAATGTGTTAATGTGCTACAGTTTGAAGGTGGTGTGTATGGTTAAATCTCTCTCCTGCAAAAAAACAAACAAAAACACCTACTACCTGCATTTCTAACAACTTGATTGGTTTAAAGCAGCCCTTCTCTCATTATTTAATTATCAAAATAAATCATTGTTATTCTGTGACCTCTCAGCGCGAGTTGCTTCATGTAAAAGACAGTGAATAGGACACCAGCTCCAGCCCACACTCTTCCATAATGATCAAAAAGGAAATAAAAACATTTGTAAAAAAAAAAGTAATGATTTTTGAAAAAAAAAACTCTCTCTATATATAATGTAAAATTATATGCACAGTAAAGATGTATAAATGATTACATTAAAAACATAAGCTGTGGAAAAAAGACAACCAGGTTGTTTTTCTTATGGTTTTCTCATCACTCATTCACTTAGTCACACCCACACACAAACACACTTCCTGGCTGTACGATGATGTCAGGATTTCATTGTCAGCATGATGAGTGATGGGTGCAGGACTTCACTCTACTGTCACAGACTTGGCCAGATTTCTGGGACAGTCCACCTGTAATTGAAAATAAAATTAAAAAAAGGTTCAAGGGACTAAATAACTAAAAAATAAACAGGATGCAAACAAAGAATTTCTGATATTGAGTAAATGTCAGAACTAAACTCAACGATTGGATAAGTGTTAACCAATCACGTCAGTGTGACAGAACTGACCTGATGTACATCAACAATCCAGAGGCAGACGTTAAGGTGTCTCTTTTCAAAGTTGCTTCAATACTGTTTTATTTTTAAACTTAAACTGAGTCCATTTGATGTTGTTCTACATGAATCCAATATGTGCAAAAGGCTCAGACCTTGTATTATTTATAACAGTGGTTCTAAAACTAGAGTAGGCAGTGGTACTTGGGCTCCTTGAAGTGGTATGTTGGGGAATCTGATTCCCATAATATTAGGTGAGGTAATCTTTTTTTTTTCTTGTCCTCTACCTCGCCCTCTATCTATTTTTGTGGTTTCAGAATTGATTAAAGGGACAGTTGTATCAAACTTTATTTTACAAAATGACTTTGAATTATCTAAGAATATGCTGTATTCTACACTTTCTATAATGTCCTGAGTTTAACAGCTAGGCCAATGCCGCAGTATTTTAATGTTGGAAATAACCCAAAAGTGTTTTTTTGAGGGTTGGAAATTATTTGATTTCTGTTGATTTTTTAACCGTACATTGTTAGTAGCAGATGGATAGTGTATTGGCATATTTTAATTTAAATGTTTTTCAGATGTCAAAAGGCAAAAAGCAAGTCAATCTGTCAACCCAACAGTTCAAGTCCTCAGTGTTTGTTTTTCTTGAAGATAAACTGTATTTTCTTTTCATAATGTGTTGAACAGGTGTCTTCACATCCTGTCACTGTGTGTAAATCCAAAAATGTTCCATGTACATGTTTGTGACAGGCCAGTCATGTTTAAGTAGACTGTTCTAAATTTATTCACATCTGGAAGTAAAAGAAACTTTGTAGATTATGTATAGTTGAAACATTTTCAAAAATATGCTTTTTCTTTAGTCATTATTTAAAATGTTTAAAAATGCTTTTGGTATTCAAACATAAAAACAGGTCCACTGAATAAAAAAACTATTATATAAACCTTCATACTTGTGTCATATGTTGTGTCCCACAGTGACATATGTGGGACAATACTTACATCAAAACCCCGGAGGACGGCCAGGTGGAAGGACAGCAGCTGCAGAGGTATGACGCTTAGGATACCCTGCAGACAGTCCACAGAGTGAGGCACATTGATGGTGCGGCTGGAGTTCTTGATGGTCTCGTAATCATCCTTGTCACAGATTACAATAGGACGACCCTGAAAAAAAAAACAAAGAAGGACAAAAAAACTCTTTAAATGAAAAAAGAATTGTTAATATGATCCTTAATCTAAAGATGACACACCAACTGTTAAGAGCAGATCATAAAAACAGTCTTTTTCCATACCTCTTGCCCACATCTGCTGCAGATTATCCTAAGGCATGATGTCACTCTAAACCAACTCCACCCTTATATTTACTGAGGTGAAAGATTAGAGATGTGGCACAGACTCACTGCATGTAAATGAACCTGCTGCGGTTACGCTGGAGTCACGTTTGAACTTATCAGCTCAACCGTAAAGTGAAGACATACTTTTCCAGTTTGAAATTAAATAGGTTTGTTGGTTTCCACAACGGGCAAGGATATTAGCACAAAAAAACAATGTGGTTTGGTTCCCATTTCCAACACAATACAGAATACACACACACACACACACACATATATATATACACACACACATATACATACACACACATATATATAAATAAACTAATGGTATGGCTATATTTAAAAATAGAAATAAAAGTGCTTCAGTTTTCAAACAGAGATAGAAATACATTTGTATCAAACAAAAACATCTGTTTTAGATACAACAACAGAAGACAACACTGACGTGTTCGACTCTCACCTGTCGTGCGACGACCTGCTGCAGGGCGTTCTGACATTTGATGTAAGTGTGATCCCTCATGATGATCATGATGACTGGCATGAGTTTGTCCACCAGGGCCAGAGGACCATGTTTCAGCTCCCCAGCCAGGATTCCCTCAGAATGCATGTAGGTGATCTCCTTGATTTTCTGCACCCAGTGATGAACACAAACAGGAATTCTGATAAAACAGTTTACATTTTTTTGGCAAAGAGCATTTAGTAACAAAAATAAATATTGGACATCACTGACAGTACCAGCACACCAAACTGAAGATGACTTTAACTAAAATACTCAATGAGTTGAGTACTTAAGCCCTGTGAGGTGTTAAACTAAAGTGATATAATAACCATATAAATTGTTTATTTGTAAAATCAGCAGTGTTTAGTAGGTTGAGACACTTAAGAATGATTACTATTTTGGGTATAGAAATGCTAACTATACTCTGAATATTGTGATACTGAAGCATCAACAGCAGAAGCAGCAACATTTACAAAGCCACGGGCCATGTATTGATTGCTAGAGAAGAAGAGACTAAAAGAGAAGTCCAACTTTCTTTCAGCCTAGTATATATTCTTAAAGCCTGAAGATAGCTAATGTATACAATAATACATAAATTATAGAGCAGACAAAAGTAAATGAGTCTCAAACACAATAATGCTAAATGCTCACCAGTGCTCCTTCCAAGCAGGTAGCGTAATGGTAGCCTCGGCCCATGATCAGGACACTCTTCTGCTGATACAACTCAGTTGCCAACTTCTGGATCTCATCATCCAAACTGAGGACTTCTTTAATCAAGTCTATATGTCAGAAAAACAGATTTTGTTCCATTTATTAGTGGACATTATACTGAAAGAACCACAGCAGTAAATTATGTAAGTATATTGCATATTAAAACCTTGATGGCAAATGGTTTAGAGCTGTTTATGATGTTGGGCACAGAACAGGGTAAAAAATTTGCTCTGGCACAGAACAGAACTAAAGTCTTCAGGGAAACTTGATATTACTTGATAAAATACAACTTGATAAAAAAAAAGATGGTTAAGTGTTCAGTCAATACGTTTTAATCAAATATTTTACCAGGATTTATCCAGCTGAAGCAATACTGTGTGGTATTTACCTGGAAGCACTTTCAGGCCTTGGATTATCTCACAGCGTCTGGGCTGCATTGAAATCCTGTCATCGCACATCAAGAGAGCAAACATGACAAGGGCCACAAACTGGCTGGTGTACGCCTGAAAGAAGAGAAATTAAACAATTATTTATATTGAGTCACTGGCCACATATGAGGATGTCACAGCCTGGAAGTATCCCCCAAGCCAGGGGTTTGACACCCCTTTACTAAGGAGAAAGTAATATCCCTGTTTGGTACCATTAAACTTCAGTCACAGAGCAGCAACTTGATCCTAACTTTGGCCTCTGTTTCAGAATTTGTGGAGCCATAAGTGTGTTTTCTTTTTGTTTTGATAGCCAAATTTGTGTCCAGCTAATAATCTGCACCAGATGAGAAGTGCAGAAAGTTTTTTCTTTATTGGATTTTTTTTTCATTATTTTTTACATGCAATACTAAATGGCTTGCAGATGAGATCAGTCAAGCTAATGTGGCTCATGGTGTCAAATCTGGCACACACAGGGATGTCATTGGTGGGTACAAAAAAAAACAAAAAACAACAACAACAACAACCTGCATTTCCTAGGGTATTACCAATTGGCTTTGGCTTGAAGGTACCCAATATTACTCCATGAGACAAAAGGTCCCTAAGGAACCCAATGACACACCAACATAAGCAAATGGCAACACACCAATCACAATAGGCAACCTCAGCGCATCTGAGAAATGTTGTCATCTCTATCCCCCTCTTTTTCTTCCTTCATCTGAAAGCTTGTTTGGAGTGCTGCCATGCCCATTTGGAAGATTTAATTAGTGCCTCAGTGAAGCTAAGTTCTTTCATGAGACTCACTAGAGTCAAACATGTCTGTCTCTGGAGCCAAGAAAATAGCTGTAAAATCTTTACACTGGGTTTTTTTTCTCCCCTTGAAAACAGCCTCACAACCGAGTCCAAATTTTGACATTTAGGGCTGTAGTCTCTGATGGGCCAACATGTTTAATCCACACAGTAAAATGCATCATACAGTGCATGCCATCTGTGTTGAACACCCTCACACAGTGCAGCTGAAAGGTCTCTCAAACTAAAACAGATGTGGACTGGAAAACAAACTTAACCCTGTACATTCCCAGAGGACCCTGGTATGTCATTCAAAAATGGCATTTACTGTCTGTTGAGACTGTTAACATTTCTATAGCACATAATGTATTTTGTCTCAAACTATACAATAAATCTTGAATATGACCAAATGAATTGGAAGAATTTCTTCTGCATGTTTTCCACCCTTTCTTTGAAAAATAAAATCAAATTAGGATGAAAAAATTCTGAGATATTTAGAAGCTGTGTTGGATACACAGTCTCCAATGATGTGATGATATATGCTGTGCAGAATTTGTGCTGTGCTGGGTGTGGGTGTGTGTGGCCCAACCATCCAAGCAGTTAATGATGGCGTCTTTATGACGTGCTCTGGGGCTTTGGTGCAAAACAAGAGTTGCTGAGCCAAGCCCAGGGGCTGAGCAAGGGGGAACCTGCGCCACTGTACACCAGTGGGTTCCAAATGTAAACTGCCTTTGGGTTTTGGGAGAAAATCTGCTTCAAGGGCCAAGTTGAAAATATCAGGGTTTTTATCTCCCTGTGGCATCAAAGAAGTGGAAAATGTCAGCTTGTATTGACTCACAATCGAGATTTCATATGGGTTCTATTCAAAATCCACTAAAATGTTTGTGAAGGTCATTTATAAAATGAAGCAAGAGTGTGGACTGCTTTTGACAAAGTTCAAGTTTAATAAAAAAATAAAAATATCAATACTATATATTATAAAATACAATATATAGTATTGAGATTTAGTTTGATAGGTGTAAAAAACCTCTAGTCAACATCACCACTGAAGGTGGAACTATAAACAGTCAGACAACCCTGGCCCAGGAGTGTGCTAGTAAAACACTGTATATACACTGTTTAAAAAGTGTTTGTAATGCAATGTTTTAACTTAACTAAGAATAAAGCTTTAGCTGTCAGGACTATCAACACCCATAGTCCCTCGACTTTAAGTCCTCTTATGGTGAACTACAAGGCTAAACTGTAAGGTCATGAAAACTATACAATGTTGCAATAAAACTGTCAACACACACTTTATAGGATACATTAACTACACACATATTTTTTTAAAAGGGCAGCAAATAGGTGTCCTATGCCATCATTTACTATCTATAATTTAGGTTTTACTTGTAATAGGAAAATAAAAGGAAGACAGAAGCATCACCATTTAGTTCTTAACATTTTCCTTTATACTTCAACTTTCATGTAAATTCTTTGTGCATTCTTTTATAGGCATTTAAAGCCACACACTTGAGTGCTCAGATGTGGACTTACCTTGGTGCTCGCCACTCCAATCTCTGGCCCAGCATTGATGTGGACTCCACAGTCTGTCTCCCTGGAGATGGAACTGCCCACTGTGTTTGTGACGCCCACAGTTAAAGCCCCTCTCTCCTTACAGTAGCGCAGGGCCATGAGGCTGTCAGCAGTCTCCCCTACAGGATTGGTAGGAATGAAAAACACACCAGTTCATTAAATGCAACATATCTGACAACAAAATAGAAGCTGATTTATTTGCTTTTTCTGAAACTGCTTTATAACCATTACATGAATAATTTGAAGCAGCTTCAGAGGAAAACCTCAGGGCAAACCACAGACATATCGCCCACACACATACAATACGTGCACACACAGCTCATGCTGGTTTTCTCAACTCACTCAGCAGTGCCCAAGAGAGACATTATTTCTAAAGACCTGGAGTGATTCCATAAAAATTAGGTCAAAGGCTCAAATAACAGTAGGTTAAAAGTCTACCAGGCTCCCACCTGACTGGCTGATGAAAAAGCAGACATCATCGCGAAAGACAGGAGTGTTCCTGTCCAAGAAGTCACTGGCAAGCTCAACCATGACGGGCAGCTCAGTTAGCTCCTCCAAGACCTGCCGAGTCTGAGCAGTAAAAGAAAAAGATGTTTACCATTGTTGTGTAAAAATAAAGCCGTCAAACATGTGTGCTAACATACAGTATGACCTCACGCACCTGTGGCCACATTACATAGTTTCCTACTTGCTTAAAACAACATAAAATGAACAAGCAGACAAACACTAGCATGATTTGCATTTGCAGGAAAAAAAAAAAATTGTAGACAAGAACTCACTGCTACTCCAGCATGGTAGCTGGTGCCACAGGCAATTAGAATGAGTCGCCGACACCTCTGGATCTCTTTGATGTGGTCCTTTAATCCACCCAATATCACTGCAAAGCAAACAGATTAATCATCACTTAATTTTAAGACTTTTGCATCTTGTTAAAAATGCCAACAATAAGTTAATGAGGCGTTGAGAGAAATCTGACAATGAAAGCCAACATGTGACTTTCCATGTGTGCTACAAATGTGTCTGCCTGAGGACAAAGAAAACTCACTCCTACAGTATTACGAGTGTGCTTTGAAGGACAATTGAAAGCAAAATAAATGCTGTTCAATTGTGGAAACAATATATTTAAATGCACCTGTGTTGTTATCGAAGTTGATTCTCCCCCTCATGGTGTTGACCACAGACTCCGGCTGCTCAAATATCTCTTTTTGCATGAAGGAGCTGTAGTTGCCTGTGGTAGAAACAAAACAAATCACTAAGGCCTTTCACAATATCTCCCAGTTTACCTACGCTTTTTGGATAACAATGGGAATTCATTGTAATATTTTTGTGACAGCCAGGTTTTCTTGAAAATGGCTTAGGTCCAATCTCCACAAAAATAAATCACATAAAATAAGACATTTGAGTATTTTTCTATCACATTTACAATTTAATGGTTAAAAAAGGCCTTGGAATGATTTTCTTAGCCTTTTTAAACAGTTTTTAAAACAGTCTGGGGTAATGTGAATTAGGTTACTCAGCATAAAGGCTGAGGCTGTGGATAGAGGCTGAGCAATGACAGGACCACGAAAGAATGTCAAGCTCTGCCAAATTTAGATTTCCTCTGCCCTCTGCTGGATGATTCAAAATAAAAGACCAGAGTCGAAACATATTACACTGTGAATAAATGGGGCAATAACAAATTATTAGATTTCGTAACAGTAGCTAATTAAAGCTATGGTTACAACATAATTAAATAATAAACAACTACAACATTTGTCAACATGCTCTGTATCCATGTTGATGTATTTTCAATTATTAGCAAATATATAAAAGCCAAATCAACTGACTATAGCAATTAAACCATTATTATTTTAAGAAACAAACCACAGATCAGTTGTTTTCCACTTCTCTGATATCAGCAGACATTCAATTAAGTGTTAATTTCCCACTGTAACACATTTGTCCGAATCTGAATCAGTGATGTGTCTCACAATGTGCCCTTTTAGCAAAGTTACATTATACTACAAAGTTTGTTATTTAACTTATTTTGACAAATTATAAAAGAGTATGTGGCCCAATGGCTTTCAGGATCTTACAATAATTTAACAAATTAATTAATAATGACATAATGATGACAGATATCTTCCTGTACTGCTTTAAATGAATCTGATTTGCAGAGAAAAAATGGGATAAGTTTAAGATTTAACTTTTTTTTAAAACATTTGTCTATTTATTACAATCAATAAAACACTTTTGAGAAAATGTAAGAATAATCTATTATGAAACGATTAACCATTTGCAAGATTACCTCAATCAATACAATTTTTTATTGTTATTGTTAAAGAACAATTTGAAATAAAGTGTCCTGCATTATCTTAATACTCTATGCACCAACTCATCTACAGTACCACCTCATATCATCCGTGTTCAAGTTAAAAAAATATCCATTTAAATTTTATTTTAGAGCAAACAACACTAGTGGTTCCAGACCACTCCTAAGGACAAAGAACAAATTTATTTTTATCATTTATGCTAGACTAGAAAAAAGTACACTGACTGTTAATTTTATTTCCTTTGTCAAATGGTAATATCCGGTTTGTAGGAAAGACAATGGTCTACTGACAACTTAATGGAGTGAAGCAATATTTATAAATGTGCCAATGGATAGTTAAGGCGATTGTTGAGATTTAGAAACAAACATAAAATCATCCATAACCCTCGGCTTATCCGGAGCCGGGTCACGGAGATAACAGTCGGAGCAGGGATGCCCAGACTTCCCTCCGGGGGGGCATGCGATGTAAATGCCCAAGCCACCTCAGCTGACTCCTCTCGATGTGAAAGAGCAGTGGCTCTACTTCGAGCTCCTCTTAGGTGACAGAACTCCTCGCCCTATCTTTATGGGAGCGCCCCGCTACCCTGTGAAGGAAGCTCATTTCAGCAGCTTGTATCCGGGATTTAGTTCTTTCGGTCATGACCCAGAGTTTATGGCCATAAGTGAGAGTAGGGAACGTAGATTGACCGGTAAATCGAGAGCTTTGCCTTTGGGCTCAGCTCCTTCTTTACCACAACGGCCACGGTAATGCGGTCGCTTAATGGGTCCCATTCAGCGACCGCATTACCGTGGCCGCTGCACCGATCCGTCTGTCAATCCCATGTTCCATCCTACCCTCATTCATGAACACGACCCCAAGATACTTAAACTACTCAACCTGCGGCAGGATCTCTCTGTCGACCTGGAGGGTGCAAGCCTTTTTCCGATCGAGGACCATGGCCTCACACTTAGAAGTGCTGATTCTCATAAGACCACAATCTGCAAAAGCAGAGATGAACTCCGAACTGGACCCCACCCAGTCCTTGACTACATCTACAAATGCTGTCCATAAAGATTATGAACAGAACTGGTGACAAAGTCCCCCAAACCAACCAGGTTCAGTAGGACCCTTTCTTCTGCTTGACGGCCTCCCTAACCTCCGGTGTCCATCACCGGGTTCGGGAATTGCTGCCACGATAGGCACTGGAAACCTTAAGGACACAGCTTTATACAACAGCAGCAACGATGACAGAAGAGAACATGGTACACTCGGACTCAATGTGTCCAGACTTCCTCGGGACCTAGTCAAAGCTCTATAAGTTGAAGGCCTCCCTTACAGGGGATATGGCAAGACGCTCCCAACAGACCCTTCACAATACGTTTGGGTCTGCCAGCTCCATACAGTTTCACCCCCTGCAAGAGGATCCAACTAACCACAAGGTGTTGATCAGTTGACAGCGAGTGTCCAAGATGTATGGCCGAGAGGTCAGATGACATGATTACAAAGTCAATCATTGACCTCCGGCCTAGGGTGACCTGGTGCCATGTGCACTGATGGACAGCCTTATGTTTGAACATGATGTTTGTTATGGACAAACTGTGAGTAGCACAGAAGTCCAATAACAAAACACCACTCGGGTTCAGATCAGGAAGGCCGTTCCTCTCAATCACGCCCCTCCAGGTGAGGGTCCCCGAACAGGACGACGAAATCTTTCCAGTGACCCTCGCAGTGCCTGCAAGAAGGCCGGGTACTCTGCACTATTATTTTGCCCGTAGGCTGAAACAACAGTAAGACACCTATCCCCCACCCGAAGGCGCAAGGAAGCGACCCTCTTGCTCAGTGGGGAGAACTGCAACACACAGCTGGTGAGCTATAAGCAAGCCTACACCAGCACACCACCTCTCACCACAAGCAACTGGAAAATACTCCTTTCTTGAGGGATTGGGACCCAGTCCCAGACTTGATGATGATGCTTTCTCATATAAAATCAATTCAATTCTAAAAGTGTAGGAGAATGGATGGAAATCTATAGTCATTTTGAAACAGAAAGGTCCCTGGGGTGGAGCTGATTGGACAGGACCCTAAATAGTGTGATAAGAAGGTGCAGCCACAGAGCTGGGCAATAAAAGGCAGTAAAACAATAAAAACAGTCAATCACCCTTTACAACAAACAAAATAATGATACAGAAAGAAATTACAAGACAGAGAACAAAGTAATTAATTATTTTTAAATTATGTCTGGAGTAATTAATGGTTGTGTCTGCACATCAAAGACCAGCATCCTACACACCTTTCATTATCTGCTGCAGCTCCATCTGCAGGGTCTGGATAGCACGAGCGGGGTAATCTCCAGCTGTTCGTTTGATCCTGTGAATGGATAGGCGACCATCGGTCACAGCAGCCACATCATCATCCTCCAGGAAGATCACCCGATTTGTGTGCTCGATAACCGCGCTGTTGGAACAAAAGACACACACAAGCCCACATCAGACCACGTGAGATTTATGCTACATTGGTGAGAATTGGGTAAAGTGGGAATGTTAACAAAGCAGTTATTTGCCTTGCATCCGATGCAAAATAGTACTCCACAGCTTTCTCATCCACGGGAAACAGGCAAGTGTCCTGATCTGCCCGAGGTAATGCACCACAGCTCTTTTTGTCTTTACCAGCTGGGAAAATATAGAAAACATAGGAAGTGAATCTCAGTCACAGTTGTGCAAACCCTGTTGACAAAAATAGGTTTATAAAAATAAATTAAATACAATTACATGAGCGATAGAGCACAGGAATGTGATCTGCTGACAGCTTGTGATTACTCCTTACTCCAATCAGCAATGGGCCTCCCCTCCTGTGCAGAAACATTTTAATGAGCCAACAATAATTTAATCTGCCTTCACTTTCAGTTTGAGAGCATTGGTTGTGTACCTTGTGCCAATTGCTTCTCCGGGGTAATGAACACTCTTGAAAACCAGGGCGAAAGCTCCTTCCTGTGGTTAAACAAGTAACTCACATTATCTTTGAACCTAAGATAACAATAAAGGTAACTTTGACATAACAATAAGCTGGTGGTGTAGGTGTGTATACCGTCTTACCAGCTGCTGAATCACCCTTTCCACCAATGTGGCAAAACTGATGTCATCACTCTCTCGGTTGTCATACATGTACTTCACCAGCTTAGCAATGGACTCTGTGTCAGTCTCTGACTCAAATTCATAGCCTTTGCTTTCCTGTTTGAGGGAGAGTCCTGTTTATAAGTCATCTTCAGTGTTAACGTAAAGAGGTCTTAAAAAAAATTACAAATTGTATCTTCTCACCAAAAATTTCCTCAAGTCTTTGTAATTGGTGATAATTCCATTGTGAATGACAATGAACTCTGAGAGACAAAAATTATCATGTAACCGTTGTGAGATATACTGCTACAATATATATAGCTTTATATATGGCTTTAAACCTTCAACTTACCATTATTTTTGTCAGATCTGTGTGGGTGGCTGTTGACTGGACTTGGAACTCCATGAGTAGCCCAGCGGGTGTGAGCAATTCCCAGATGAACGTCAAACTCCACATCCATGTCAACATCCTGCTGTTCTACAATAAACAAAGAAATTCAAAAAAGAAAACATTGAGCATTTCAGAAAGATGAATCAAGGCTTCAGTTGGTTATAGAAAATCCTGGATTTGCAGGAAATGTTTTCTTACTGTGGATCTCCTCCTCAAGAGCCTTCACCTTTCCACGCTGTTTGATCAGTTGTATAGACTTGGAGTTTGACTCCCACTCTTTGTTGTTTCCACCATCAATTCCCACACCTAACAAAGTCAAAATTACAAATTAGCACAACCACTAGATTATTATTGTTAATAATCCGATTGATAATTAGTGTTAACTTCTATCACCTAATAGCTTTCTACACTTTTCTGCACTGCAATGTCTGTGCTCTGAACAGTCTCTAGTGTCTTAAATTCCTGAGGTTATACCCCTTTAGCATATCAGCAGGCAAGATAAAGGCAGCTAGCATAAATCTATGTAATATTCAATATATTAAAGTGACGCTAAACAATATCTTCACACAAAAAAAGAGCCAGATCTGTGGCTGTTATTTATTATTGTTGTTATTTTCAATGTATAATCTTGTCTGTGATCTTGTTTAATAAACATAATTTGGCCATCTAAGGACAGGAGGACAGAAAGTACTGAAAGGCAGCTTATATAGGCATTTTTTGATCTTACCAGCTGAGTCATAACCCCTGTATTCCAGACGCTGGAGACCTTTAATAAGGATTTCAAGGATCTCACGGCGAGTCCTTGGGACATGGTAATTAAGATAAGCAAAGATTCCTGAAAAGAAAAAGACAAATAAAGCAGTGATTTTAAAAAAAATAGTTTTCTTCTCACTAAATTTGAAAACTACAATTGAAATAATGGTTTCTGACTAACTTTGGCATCCTGACAAATTGTTTAATTGGCAAAAGCTGATTCATTTTTTTTTAAACACAGCTTGATTTGAGCTGTGTCACAAAATGTAATTTCAATGTTTTTTAAATGACTTTGATAGAATTCCTCCCAACAATCCATGACTATCTAACGTCACAGTATTCACAAAATATGCTAAAGGTGTGGTTTGTTGTAAGGCTGGGGGATGGCAAGCAACTGCAACACAGCTTTTCGAGCATGAGGAGCTAACATTTTTTATCATTGTCTTCTTTAACTAATAACAAATGGAAATAAAGTATCTATGATCAGACATAACAAAGACCACAATGGATTTGTGTGGTGAAAGAGCACTCTACATACTCTATTATTTCATGACAACATGGTTGAGCTGTGACTTACAAATTCTACATTCATCTGTTAAGATTCAATGCTCAATGTGTTGGTTAAAACCAGTCCTACGGGAGGGGTGATGGGGATAAAAAATAAATACTGCTTTCGTTCAAGTCAGTAAAACCTGCTTAGGGACAATGCAGTGTAATGGGTGTTTAGAAACACTGGTATGTTCGCCTCATACCAGTGTGGGAGGAGTACTCATATATACTTATCTCTGCACATTAAAATGTCTTTTAGTTGCTTATTATCAAGATGTTTTCCATATCACTGAGTCAAACAAGTATGCCTTAGTTTGATTATAAGACAACCAACGAAAACAATCACAGCACAACACGCATTTTATAAAATGTATGTGCAATATAAGTTTAGTTATCATTAAGGAAAGTGAACTACTTCTCATTGTGACACAGCAAAGCACTGCACACACCCAAATGTGACCTCTGCTTTTAACCCATCACCAAAGTGAACAGTGGGCAGCTTTGAGCACCCAGGGAGCAGTGTGTGGGGATAGTGCCATGCTCAGAGCACTGAGAAGATACTCCCTGAAAATTTACAGATCAAGTACCATGTTATACAGCAGCTGAAACTTAGCAGATGGTGAACTGATTGAACCTGAAGCCTTGCACACCCAAGTCCACTTCCTTAACCACTAAGCCACCACTGCCCCCATTGGCAAATATCTGGAATCAATAGTGAATGAAGCCCCAGAAATTCACAAATGCTGTTGGGAGTGGTGGTAAAACTGTGAATGAATGAATGGAGGACGAGTGAAATACAGCCCTACACAGTTAAGCAAGTGAATGAAAATATGGAGCCGGGGGGATGCCTGCTTTAACAGAGCAGTCATTCATTGAGCAGCAGGGGATAGAGGGAGGTAATGAGGAGTGGCTCACAGAGAAATCATGCTGCAATAGAGACAACATAAAAAATCTTGACAGGCCAAGGAATACAAGTGTCTCATACATTTCTTTTTCATGCCATTACATTTATTCTTAAATATTATTTTTAAATCTATCAAAATGTATTATCTTGGAAAATATAGGATCTGGGGGAAATTATGGTGGGAATAAACATTACAGTAATAAAATTAAGTATTGCAGTAATAAAAATGAATGTTTACCAAAATCACAATAAACAATACAACTGTACACTGATATGTGTAGCCATACAGTTAGAAATCAACTACACCCCATTTGACACTTAAAGCTGTAATGTTAAAACTGTCAAAAAAGATAAAACAGAATAAAACAAAATAGAACAGCAACACGCCTTAAGTTTGTTCCACTACAACCTTTAACCGTTTGATAACAATCATTACTGCAAACAAGACCTGTCCCTAGTGAATGCTGCTCAGCTGCCTCTTTAGGTGAGGCCACAGATTATCACTGAGCCTAATGAGGTCTAAGTTTGTAGTAATGAAGAAAGAAGACAGGAAACAGTTATCAGACAGAAGTGAAAAGGGATGAAACACAGGACAAAATAATCGAGACAGTGACAGACACCAGAAGAACATGTCAGCTGATACAGAGTCTGGCCATTAACTGTTTATATGGCATGAGTAACTATCTCTGTTGTTAACATGGGAGAAAACTCCTCTGGTTTTGAAAGCCATTTGATCTACAAACTAATGACTAATTAAGTTACAATGTAAATGAATCAAATTAACATACTCATCCCACAGGTCAGATTAGACTAGTGCGGTATATCTGTTCTTAGCTAATGCATAGTTACGTTTTACCAGGTCAGAAGAAAAGAAACTCAACCACAACAAAAACCAGGGAGAACATTTTTGTTTTTATTGCATCATTCCATTAATGTACAGAGAAGGCAATATGTTTTGGAATAAGGAAGTAGGGATAGGATCTTAAACTCAATTGATCTGTTCTGGCACAGAAAGGTTTAAAACCATCCAACTTGGCTTGAAATGTAATTTTTAATTCATGATTAATTACAACCACTAACTAGGTGTATCTTGTAAAGCTTCTTACTCGTTTTACGTTACTCAGCTCAATATTTTTTTTCATATAGAGTAATGAGCTACAGTAGAGCTAGAGTAATTTTACTTGAAATTGGAAAAAAATGAGAGTAACAGTTAGCACGCCAGGTGGGTTTCTGGTAGACTTTACATTTCTCATCACCTCATTTGACGACCAGCGAAGAAACATGATTTAAATAAACTGCGTCGCAGATTTCTTAAAGAGCACATACCATGCTAACTGTCTACACTTATTTGTTAGAGAGATTTGACCTCATTGGCAGAAGGCACTATTTCGTTACTCATCATTTAGAAAACATTACGGTAAAAAAATGAAGGCCGAAATACCGATATCTAAAAATGGCACAGCAGCATCAGTAACATCAGCCCGTGTATTATTCGCTAAGTCCGGTTAGCCACCCGGCTAAATTTCACCACACTTCTCCCTTCACTCCCAACTGATATTTCTACCAGCGTTTCAGACGTGCTCTATTTGCTTTTGCTATATCTACTGTGAAGAGAAAGATGCAGTTCTGTGGAATTATATAAATGAGTTTACATTGAAACTTACCACACATGACTCCTGTTCGGCTGATACTATCGACTACTCCCCCGGGTGGCTGAGATCGCCTGTCAAGTAAAGCCTTTCTGTCCCCGAGTATTAACCTATAGTGTGCTACCGCCTTATTCCATGTCGTAATACGATTGGCCACCAAACCCATCAGTCATACGATGTCTATGACGCAGGTACTCCTGACGTGGCATTCAGGATGCACATCCGTGAGCAGGACAATGAAGAGGTGAGACGCGTAATTAATTTATAAGAATAAGAACATCATAAATAACGATAGCAATGATAAAAAACCATAAAGTGGATCTAATTATTACTGATGTAATAGTATCGTTGTAGCATTTTGATTTGCTTATTATATTGTATAATCTGCAAAAAACAAAACAACAGCACCTAAAGGTACATGCCAAGTGTGACTTTTTTTTTTACTTAAAACTGATGAACTCCACCTTTTACTTTGAAACAGTATATTTAAACTATCCACATTCCAAAGTAAACTTGTCCATAATTATGTAGAGACAGATCTATATATAACAAGACCAGCTAACCTTCACAAATATTAGTAATACTTTTTTTTGGTAAAGGTGATGTATTTTCTTGATATTGAACAGTAAGTGATAATATAAATGTAACAGTTTTCACCTTCTCACGTTATCTGCATCCACAAATAATCATGAGACAATGTAATGTCAATTCATTTTATTTACACATATGCAGCAATATAAATGTATTTTAAATCCTTATGAGATACCAATAAATTGTGTATAATCATAACTGATGTGTGCACTTCAATCCACTCTCCCCTAACTGTCTAGCCCAAGGTAAATGTTGTTGTAGACAATGACAACATGGAGATAGAAGAATGATGATGATGGTGCTTTCTCACATTTAAAAAGCATTTTATTGTAGCTATGGGCCTTCATGATGGCAACCTGCGAAGAGAAGAATGCTCGAATATGCTTGATCGTGATTCAGACTTTAGCATCCATCTCCTCTTCTTCATCCTTCACCTATGAATATACACACCTTAGAGTACAAATATTGGTTTGATCTCAGTCATTTGACTCTGTGGGGATTACTTAGGCCAAGTGTATACGCCAATCAAACACATAATCAGCAATGAAAATGATCAAAAGTAATCAAACCTGCTCCACTGATTCAACTTCAGGGATGTAAAACTGCAGCATGTTTTGGATTCCACTCTTCAAGGTTACAATGGAACTGGGACAACTTGTGCAGGAACCCTGGAGCTTCAGCTTAACAACACCATCATCAAACCCCCGATACAGAACATCACCTCCATCCTCCTGAACTGTTGGCCTGGGATGTGTGAAAAAAAAGAACAGGAAGAAGCTGTGATAAGAAACAGGCACTGATAAGATGCTAGCTCTTCTCAAACACTTCCATTTAAGGGTCATTCACCTTATCTAAGGTGTATAAATAGTCAAATTCAAGTACTTTTTAAAAATATCTTAAAACTGTTTTCTATGTCTTTTTGCATCCTTTGGCTGTCATTGTAATCAGAGGTTTGCCAATAAAACCTGCAACATTTGCAATGTTTAAATGCACATTTGAAACCTTAAAAATAACGGATGGATTTGACAGCAATAAAATATCTTAGAGATCTGTACAAAGCCTGTACCTTATTCTTGTGTCCAGCAGCTCTTTAATCATAGAAACTACTTCGTCGTCGTCGTCTGATGGTTCTGAAAACAAGAAGAGAGAAGAATAAAAAAAAGAAAACAATAAATAAAACATAGTCACACTATCTGCTTGTTTTTTCAAAAAAAGAGTTGACTCTACAGACTGAATTCATTACCAGTATCTGCATTAGGTTTACTGTCTTCATTGACAACAGGAAGACCAGAGGTGAAAAAGTCCATGATGGCAGCAAAAACATCGGGTTTGATTAATTTCCATTCCAAATTTGCATCAGACTATAGATTGACAGAGAAAGAAAGCATACAGTATGTAAGGTATTCAAAACAATCTTATGATAGGTATTATTGCTTTACTACCCAAGACACCTATTTTTTACCCTTGTTATTGTGATAAAGTTGCTTCCTAGAAAAACACTCTTGACTCCATCGACTCTAAACAGCTGTCTGAAAACAATACAGAAAAGTGACAGTGAGTGAGATCTTATTAAGTGTCAACAAATAAATTGTAAAAATGTAAAATATTAAAAAAAATGTATAAAACAATGCACTCGGAAATAAAGGGGCATTTGAATCATCATTAACTCAGCCATAATAGGAAACATATCATAATTACTGCATTCTTCCTTTACTGGTAGTTCAATTAAAGGCCCTTGGATTTCAAAAGAAATGTACCTGGCTAGAGGAGAGCAGTACGCTTCACGAGCACTGTCAAAATTCATGGTTCCTGATTCGAGAACTGTACGACCAGGAAGAAACTTTATGCTGTTTGGATTTGGTGTGTCCTGTGTCTGTACAAACATTGTCCTGTCTTCAAGCAAACATAGGGAACACAAAGTGTGAGTTGTTTTGAATCAAGACTATAAAGCCACAGCTAAAGGAAAACATACCTGGAACAACACAGTGTATGGTCGGTGGCTGTAATTTTGACCCTCCATATCTGTATGTAGGCCAGTGTAAAGCAGCTCTTTGATGAGCACAGCCTACAGACCTAAACCAAGATGAAAAAAGGTTATTAAAAAAAGGTTATTATTACCTATTTAAGACTGATTTCTTATCCCAGCCCATCACTTGTCATTTTACTATTTATGATCTATTATTATTTATGTATTTTTGTATGTAATGTTTATTATAGCTTAATTGTTGATTGACGGACTCAAATTGTAAGTAATGTAAAGTAATTAATAAGCCAAATACTTAAAGCTATTAATCTTTGTATTTAATTACTTTTTATTTAGTGACATAAACTACTTAACACTTACTTGGATCTTACATTTTATTTTATACTTCTAACTAACCTTCTCATATTCATATTTTATTAGATGTAATATTTTAACTACTTTCACACATTTCACACACATTACATGCACTTGGATATGCAACTGTCTTACTGTCATAACTCTCGAGTGTAACTGACGTGGTTTTGTTTTGTAGTTACAGTAACAGTCAGTTTTGTGAACCAAAATAAACTATATCAAAACGTGTGAGAAACAAAATCGCAAATTGTTTAAAAATCGGGGCTGAGTAGACGTCACGGATTCATATTTTTAGTGTAAGTGATCAGAGGAAAGACAATTTAAAAAATTATTTTAAGAGGTGTTGCTTAAGCAGTGTACATATAAGTAGATAGACTTGGCTTAAGGGAAATAACAAATTGGTTTAATATTGGATGTGAAAACGTAGAAATGCACCTCTAACTAAATCAGAATAAATGGCGTCTACAATATAAGATTTGTTATATAAAAATATTCACTATAGCATAATCAATAGTGAATATTTTTATGGCCACATTAGAGCTCTTTAAATTTGTTTTTTTAAAAGTAAAGCTTGTGAATATTGTCACAGTATTAAACATGTCATTCCACGGAATTGTTCACAACAATGCGACTACTGTGACATCTTCTGCGTTAATGCTGACTTGGGTTTCTTTACATAAAACAAGAAGTTAAACTTTAGTAGTAACATGTTGGATGCTTTCATGAAAACTCATAATAAAGAAATAGAGATGCCACGCGACCAACACTTACGGACGTAATACTCCTTGGGAAATGCTCAACAACCTGCCGACCTTTCGGTACGTCGCCATTCTTATTTTGATTAGCTACAGGGAACGGAAATTATGTGTTCTTCACGGAAGTGACGCACTATTATTGCACTCCTGTTCTACTCTTTCCGGTTTATCAAGTCGTACGCTGATAGAAGTCACTGGCGGCAACTGCTAAATATCATTAAACTAAAATAAAAATGCCCACTGGTAAGAACTTCAGGAAGAGAAGAGAATCATCGGATGAGGAGGAAGATGAAATTACCGAAGAAGTCAGGTAACGAAAAAACAAACACGTTTTTAATAGACAGTCCATAGTTGCATGCTAACGTTGTTACATTTTGCGTGCCAAAACAACCATAGCATTTTAATTGCCTCATCTTCCCTCATCTGCTTCAATAATGTTATTCCGTTTTAACATGTTTTCCCTAATGATTCAGATCCAAATTAGAAGAAGCCAAAGAGCGCCAGAGTTTGCGGAAAATACAGAGTGGCGTTAGGTATCTTTTCAAACATTGAGTTTTAGTCTAAGTCTATAAGAACACATTTTCGCGCATAGGTTATCGAATCTTAGTTACGTTTGTCTTTTGTCTAGTGTTGCCGCCCTACTGGTTGGAGAGAAACTGCCACCGGATGCTGAAATTGATGTAAGTGGGCTAACTGAATTATATTTTAATTTAACCGATATTTGAACCGGCTACACAAACGAGCGTATTGACTACGTATTAACTCTTGATGGCTTGGCAAAGCAACCTTTATTTCTTATTTTTCGTTTATTTTCTATACCAATGGACCTGTTTCTTACAGAATGATCCATTTAAACTTAAGACTGGAGGAGTTGTTGACATGAAGAAAATTAAAGACTGGAACAGGGACATGTGAGTGGATTTTTTCAAATGCAGTAGCATTTTATTAATGTATGCTGTGTATTTTTGTATAAAATATAAGCTATGTCATTGCATACATCCTGATTCAATGGCAAGGTAATGTTTACTTCTACACACAGAATCGAAGATGAGCCTGACCTCAATTTGGGCACTGCATTCTCTGCTGAAACCAACAGAAGAGATGAGGATGCAGACATGTATGTATTTTTAATGAATTAACTCAAATGTGAACAAATGTTTCTTCAACAGCTATACAGCAAACTATTTTGTAAACAATGCTTATGTAGTCTCTTATAACATCTTAAAATTGAAAAAGGTAATTGTTGTACACAGCTGTTTCTGTTTCTTCAAGTGCTTAAGTGTAATTTATTCCTTTCTAAAGGATGAAATATATTGAGACAGAGCTTAAAAAGAAGGGCTCAGATGAGGCGGAGGAACAAAAGGTTAAGGTGAAGAGTCCAGAAGACCACCTTTACGAATTACCTGAGAACATTAGGGTCAACTCTGCTAAGAAGACAGAGGAGATGTTGTCCAATCAGATGCTGAGTGGCATCCCTGAAGTTGATCTTGGCATTGAGTGCGTATACACAATTCTCCAAATGATCTTGTTGTACAGTAATAATTAGGGAAGAGTCATCTCAACAATTGTTTGATGATAAGTATGTAACTATTTTGTAATATATTTCCTAGTGCCAAAATTAAGAACATCATCCAAACAGAAGAGGCAAAAGCCAAACTTCTGGCAGAACAGAGGAACAAGAAGAAAGACCAGGGCACATCATTTGTACCGACCAATATTGCTGTCAACTATGTCCAACACAACCGCTGTAAGTTTTTATCCTAACACTAGTGCTTAAACAAAGCATTACTAAAAAGTTTATGAACATGCACATTTATTTCCCCAAGTCTATCACGAGGATGCTAATGCACCACAGAGGCATCACAGACACAAAGAAGAGCCTAAAGCTAGACCACTGCGCGTGGGGGACACTGAGAAACCAGGTCCAGAAGGTAAGACTCAATGAGCCAAATTAATCCAACGCTGTGTTTTCATCCTAAAAACTGAAAGAACATCAAATAATACTTTGTGATGTGTCCAGATTTAGGTACCCTTTTGCATACACAATTTGCCATGTCTTATGTTATTTTCTTTCCTTTTATTCAGCTGCACCCTCACCACCCAACTTCCGCAAACGACCAAACAATGAAAAAGCCACAGATGACTATCACTATGAGAAATTCAAGAAGATGAACAGACGATACTGAGGAGCCTATTGTTTTGTTTGGACAATTATTAGGTTTCCTAAAACCAGTATTAGTAAATTTGTTTTGTAAATAATGTGTATAAATCTGTCATGTTTGCAGCACATGCTTTAAATTGTTGTTTAAACTGAAATATTCCACAACAATTTGAATATAGAAAACAAATGTGTTTGTTTTACACATTGGATTATGTCTCAGCTTTAATAACATTTGTTTTCTATTGTTTCCCTGTTAGATTACTTCCATAAACAGATTTGCTTATTAAGGATAAATGATAATGATGATTATTTTTTCTTGTTTTTAATCAGTTCTTTTTGGAATAAACACAATGAAAATTTAAAACATTACAAATAAAAATGTTACATAAAACAATGGCCAACTAAGTTTCAATTTTTTCAGCTAAAGAATGTCAAAAATTAGTGTTGTTCAATAACATGTCACAGATGTAGTTACACTTTTTATTACCAAAAAAAATCAGTCAAACCTTTTGTCCTTTAAAAAAGTCTGCCACACAAAACAGTAAAAAACCTGACCAAACACTGGTTGGAAACACAATATGATGGAAACTCATATATTGGTTCAATTTGCTTCATCATGGTTTCTCTATCAATGGAGTTCCGTGTCCATTGAGGTGATGTTGGGGGTTTGTCTCCTGTGACAGCTGCCCATCCACGACCTCTGTATCACCTTGCGTAGAACTGCAGCTGCTGCCTGGTGAGGCCAAACTGTCACGCTGTCTGAAGGCCTCGCACAGCGGCAGGTCGTTATTGTCCCACTGACCGTAGCTTTTGTGGGGCAGAAACCGGTAGGAGGCAAAGAGTCAGCGCAGGACAGAAAGAGAGGAGCAGACAAGATCAGCAGGTCAGAATAAGCCATCCATACAAACAGAGCATACACATGACATCACATAGACAATGAAAGCGTGAAGGTAATGCAGAAGCACAAAGAATTACCAGACAAAAACATGTTAATTAATTTAGAACTAGGTGTCACCAAACAACTGTTGATTTTAGGTTCAGCAAAAGCAAAATTAGATGCCAGTGGAGGTAAAAAAGAGTAATTACAATGCAAGGAAAAACAGCCCTCACCCAACATGCTGCCAATACAACCAAGACACTTGTACCACTTTCTAGTAGAAAAGACACACTACTACAGTGTTTTGTCTTTGATTTATTTATCGTTTTTTAGATTTTATTTGGGATCTTTAAAACAACAACTCTTTAAATCTTTAAAACAACAACTCTTTAAATTATTTCATACACACATTCAGCTACATTGTGTGTGACTGACAGGAATATTTCATTGGTTTTACACAAAGATGATATTGACAAATTTCTTTAAAATTTTGCTTTTAATAAATAACACCAACAACTGTTGTCGGTTTTGAACTTTAAAACAAAACATCTGTTAATCTGTATGTTGTTTTGTTGATTCAACTCTATAAGTTGTGTTCCGTTTACATGCATTTCTTTGTACAATGTTTCCTGGTATTTGCACCACAGTCCCAGGTTTACTACCACTGTCCACTAAAATGTGTTTTAAGCCTCTTTCATGATGAACAAAACAACAATTAAAACAGTGCTTTCTATTCAAAATATTGACAGTTAAACTACACCCATCCACTGCCACTTATGTCCAAACAGAGTATAAACTGTCCTGTTTATGGGACAGACATCACATAACAAAAATAGGTTAAAATAATAATGTATAGTCACTCAGTGAACCATGTGTTGATGATGATAATAAAGAGGTGACCCTGACAGAAGTCAGCAGGTTGCTGAGCAATGAATGGTTAAAGTGTGAGACAGTACGTGGTGCTGGGCATGGGACAGAAGTGGATTGGTGGGATGGATAAATATAAGCCTATTTGTACCTGGAGGAGTAATATTCTTCCTCTAGCTCATACAGGTCAACAGCAATCTCATCCCGCAGCGAGGTTAGCTTCTTGTCACACTCCTCTTGCAACGAGCGCAGATTTTGGTTCTGGAGGCTGATGGCATCATTTACAGAAGGAAAGTCATTGAGGATTAGGAACTGCTTCAGGTCAGATACCAGCTTCATCAGGGACTCTCCTGCACGGACCTAATACGACATCACAGAAATAGACACAAAATTGAAAAAAAAAATGCTATAGTTTCATAAAACCACAGTCAGTGTGACCCACAACCACTACACATTATGTAGAATATCCAGGAACTCAGAACTATAGTAGTTCAGTGGTACAGTACTTGATGTGAAAATACAAGTAACATTAACCAATTCACAAATGATGTAGCAAAATACTTACAATGTTGGCTGCTCTGACATGCATTTCATAATGGTCTTGTTCAGCTTGAGTTGCCCGAGAAACCTGAGTCTCTTCTTCAATCTGGATTCAGAATATGAACATCACATAGCACAAGTACAAATGACTGATGGAAATGATGTGCAAGACCAAACGTAATAGGCAAAAAATCTCTCATAAAAACTGGTAGTTAATGTAAAATAAAATAAGAAAAAAAATTTTAGAGAGAAGAGACTGAGTGGCAGTGTATTTATTGCACCTTTGCTGTTTTGATTATTTCTGTAAAGTTGTCCAGGATTGACCTGATGTCATCTTTCAGTCTTTTGTTGTAGTTCTGTAACAGCGTCTCTTTGCTCTGTGTGAGCACTCTCTGAGTTGCCATTGTGCTCAGGGAGGCAGCTCAGTACATGCTCTCTGTTAACAAAAGGCAAAAAATCACTTTAAGACGCTTATTTAAAAATACTTTGCACAGTACAACAAAGCTGGCACATGAGAGAAGGTGATACGTTGTTTGCCTAAAAGGTCATGCAGATACATTTACAATTTCGCCACATTTAATACTATACAATACTAACGATTCCAAATGTTGTACAACAGCAAAAGCAAAAACAAAACAAACAAACAAACAATTAATTTGTATGTGGAAAAGGAGCTAGGACTATGAAGATAAATAAAAGCACGATGATTTTTCTAAATAATCAGTTTCCAGTTATTATCATGATATTTTCTTACATGTCATATATGGAACCAGTCTTAGCAATTAGTTAGCATTGAAATGTGTATGACTTTTTTGTACGTTGGTATGAAACAACACACACCTAGAATCCTAAAACAACGGGGGAGTTACTTTAGCCACGAATGCTTATACTTGCAAACTATAAAAATTCACATGCTGGAAATCTACTCACCACATATTTGGCATAAAAAAGAAATCTAACGTTGTTGTTACGCACGTCTGTTATGCCGCTTCCGCTTGTTCTTGTTTCCGCTTGTTCACTTCTTCTTGGTCTCGATGGAGCCTCACAACTTCCGGTATGTAGACGTATTACTCCTCTCCTGCACTGTAGAAGTATTTCATGCACCCAGTTGTGCCCAATTGTGCACTGTTTGTATTGAAGTGATCTACAAAAGATAACAACATCATCATCAACAACAATAATAAAACAATAAGAGTAACAATACAATTAATAATAATATATTTTAGTGATGTTTAAATTAAAAATTTTATATGTGGATAGTAACATATTGTAAATGTAAGTTTATTTTTTTCTAAGTAAGCTTATTAAGTTTCTATGTGTCCCAATTAAGCTATGATTATAAAAGTTACATAAAATTAGTAGCTCTTAGACATTTTTATTTTGTAAAAGTAGCTCTTGTAGAACAAAGGGTTGTAGATCCCTGCTGTAAATGTTACCACGTTTGGCACATTTCTTTCTTTCTTTTTCTTTTTTTTTTAAAACAGCCCAGGTTCAGAAAACTAGATTCCTTTCATTTTAAGTGTCTTCAAAAAGCCAACAGGTTATTAGTTGAGTTTGCAGGCTGTCCAAGAATTATACTGTTTCTTTAGCACTGGTAGTACATACGGTCTGATAACTGAAGTTGTGTTCTGAGAGATGTATCGTAAAAAAATCTTGAATGTGTTTATCATTTTCCACCTTTTTTGGAATTGAATGCACCCAACTTTGTACATGTCATCTGTAACTAGTTGATGAGCAACTTCAGTAATCGGATTGACTCTACTAGCACGAAACCAATGCACTCCTCTCTGGGATGTGAAAATGAGATGATGAATATTCTGATGCAGTCTTACCAACAGATGACACTAATTTCTTGCACAACAAATGTGAAGGTTAAACTATGCTAAATCTGTGTACAATGGATACTAGGTTGGTGTACAGGACGTGTGATGTAAAATTAGACTGTATCCAAACTAGAATGGGAAAGTGCTTCAGTGATGACAAACAACCACACAAACAGCAAATACTTGATTTACATTCATTTAATATTTTGTTTATTATGAATTACAACACAAGTTCAAAGGCAGGATGTGTGACATAACAAATGTTCAAGTGCTTTTTGTTGTCCAACAGTACCACCAGCTGTTGAAACACTAGGGAAAATATACTTTACAGCTGTTACAGTCAAAAGACATTCTACGAGAACCCTGACTCTGGATCAGTTATGAAGTGCCACTCTCATGTTTTGAAGTCAGATAATTAAAAAAATGTAGTACACTTAATGAAAAAAATAACCTAACAAACAATCATCATTGCAACAGAAGATATTGATTGAACTTTCAGTTGAAAAATAAACTGACCCTCTTTATTTAAAAGTGCCCATTTCCATGATTAAACAAAACACAATTAAAATATTTCTAACTTCTGATAAAACAATACCAGTGTTCACAAAGACACCTTTTTTTTTGGCATTTTGTGCCAAATACCTTTTTCAATGTGACTCGTTTTCACGTCAGCAGTGTGACACATTTGGTATATATTGAGATTGTTGTGATGGGGACTCAATGAAATAAAACACTAATGCATGTGAAATCCACACACAGAGATAGAAGGCTGTAGCAGCATTTTTTTCTGGTGGTCACAGAAGGCAAGAGTGATTCATGATGTTTGTTGGAAGGACGCATGGTTCTAAGTGTAAGGCAAAGAGGAATAAGCTTGTCAAGTAACACCTAAATAATCTTTTATATTTTTGACCAAGGAAAAATGATTATTAATTATTGGTGTCTGGTTAGACATTGACCATTTTCATTAGGACAGAATATTGCTACAACAGTCCATGATTAATCATTAGTCAGCAGATCTACTTTGACAAACATTTGTGTATGTGGATGTAGTCATGGGACGTTTACTCACAGTATTGTTAAGGAGACGGGTCTATTTCATTCGTTTACTTACCCCAGTTTTCTGTGATGTCATGATAGTGTGCTTATCCCTGAATCTTTCTGAGAACCATGATAACAAAAGGAATCTGGTGTTACCACATCATAGGTTCACAGTAAAGCTCAAATAAACAGGAAATTGAATTGTCAAATCCTAAAACAAAAGTCATTGTTAATGCAGTGTTTTTAAAGACTGTCCAGGAATTTAACTGAGGTAGGCAAGAAAAAGATTAAATGCTTGACTAGTGTAGTTTCTTCTTGTAGATGTAGTTTGTGTACGAAAAAATACTTATTTATTTGTCAGCTGCTTTATCCTGACTAGACTGTAGAATTGAGACATTTCCTGTTAAAATCATGCAAACATTGGCGGAAGGCACCCTGGGCAGACTGCTAGTCCATTGCAGGGCGACATAAGGACAAACAATCTTTTAGTCTTACATTCACCTATGGTCAATTTATAGCGTCTAATATTTGGACTGTGAAAGAAAGCTGGATTATATGGGGAAACACATGCACAGGACATGCCAAATAGAGTTTTCTGCTGTGAGGCAACAGTGAAAGCCAACTATTGTCGACCATGAAAAGAAATCAGAAAAAATGGAAATGTAAAACAACGTGACAGCAAAAAAACAAACAAAATAAAAACCCCAAAAGTGACAAAGTCTGGAAAAGATGTCACACTATTAATGTTGAATTTCAGACACTGGACACTGCAAGATTTAAAACCTGTAAATAAGATCCATGCAGGCTCACAGTCCAGCTGCAGTGCTGGTGTCAGCATGCATACATGTCTGTGATTTTCAGTTTGCATAAATGAGTGGTGCTGATACTCACTGTTTTGATTCACATGTGTACATTCAAGGCTTTTCTTGTGGTGCTTTGAGGTGAAAGGGTGCTGAGATGAAGGGATCTACAGCACTCATTTCTGAGGTCCATGAATGAAGAGGTCCAACAGGGACTGATGCTACAGTGGCCTGTCTGCTCACATTAGTCACCACACTGTGCGCTGCTGCCAGCTGCTGGGGAACAGGTCCCTCAAAGTGTCGGGAATATTTGGCCAGGGCTTGAGGACGGAAAGGACGAGCCGTAACTTGTCCTAACACACTTGAATCAGATGATCCAACTTGAACCCCGGCTGGCTGAGGGTACAACTTCACAGGCTGAGCTACTGCAGCCTCTTTTCTTTTCCCAAAAGGAGCCTGAGAGAACACATCCAGCTGCTGCTGCTGCTGCTGCTGAACTGGAGGGCGCGGGAACGGAGCATTAGCAAACACATCGGTTGCATCTTCTTGCATGATTCTAAAGGGGGCTTTAGAGAAGACATCTGCAGTGAGATCTGTCTCTCCTGCTGCCTTAGGTAAATACTCGGTATGATTGTGGGCAAAAGCGCTTGGAGTGGGCTGATGTAAGGTAGTGGACAGTTGCTGTGGTTGAACTGTGCTGGACAGGGTGGTTGAATTAATGGCCTGTTCCTCTTCATCTTCAGAGTCTAGAAGGAGAGGTCTTGACCCACTGGAGTCATGGACTGCTGCTTGACCGTCAGTGGTTGCCCCCTCCTGATGATCATCCTCACTGACCTGTTTCTCCTCATCCTCGTCACTGGAATGAACACAGCCTTGGGTTGGTGCCACATCTTCCTGTTCCACTTCAAGCACAGAGTATTCATTGCCTTCCTCCGGTGCATCTGTAAAAGACAGCAGAGAAAACACATCACTCAAAAGTTAAATTTTATTTTCAATAACCCCCAGTTCTAATTGAACTTATCTTCTGAGGTGTTAATGTCTGATAATCCTTAAGGCCATCAACTCAGTAAAACATGACAAACTGCATGACCAGTAGATAATCTGTGAAGCTTTGATAAATACCACTGACCCAACAGTGAGGAACCAGCACAGACCTCCAACATTACAAACACACTCTCGTCTGAACAGGTCACGAGGGACAGACAAAATAACTACCAGCTCTACAACTACTAGAACATCCAATAACCTTGTTTCCACAAATTAGTTTTTACCGGAGCTGATCACAAAATCTCCTCTTAGAAAAAAACAGTCAGCTCTTGTACATGAATGTGTCGTGCAAGTGCTGACTTAAAGTGGGATTAAGGGGAGTCAGTAATTCTGTGGAAACAAGGACAAGGATCCACGATGGCAACATACCAGTACTTGGGGACAGACGGGTTTGTTTAAATGAGCAGAGACGGATCACTCTTACCTCAGCAGTGTTGGCGGCAAGTGTTAACTGGAAGCTCTGGTAAAGATGTTAGTTGCAGCCAATAAAGAAAAACACTAGTACTGTTTGAGCTTACTCATCAGTCAAACATTGAGTAAAATCTACTGATCCCACTCCTTCACATGTTGGCATTCAACCCAATAATGTGACCCAAGGAGACTCTGTTCACACTAAACAGTTTTTTTATTCAGTGCCTTTAGTTTTGATCCATACTCCGTAAAAATAAAAGAACACACTTGATACTGATCCAGCTTTGTCTTTTGCTTCCAATTCAAGTCAAACATATTTGATATGATCAAAGAATCATTACAATGCTCCGCCACCACATTCAAGTCATCCAGTACGAGTACGTTAGTTTCACACAGCAAAACACGGAAAAAAAACTCTAGGACCCGGTTGAGCTCTGTACAGGACACAGCAGTGTAGTGTCTGATGGGGACATGAAGCGTTACAGTGGGATTGCATAGATCATTAGCAACAGAAAGTGACCCAACTGTAACTGGACACTGGATAGAGAGGAATAGAGAAAACACACACGCACAGAACATTTACACACACACACACACACACACACTAGTCCTTTAAAGTATAAATGTGAGTGACCACAATCACAATATCAGCACTGAGGACAACATTATAATTATTAGTTTGTATGTACACATGTATAATAATGTGGATGATATAATCATAGAAACTATAAATGAATTGATGAAATTTTGATAATTCCAATGAAATGCAACAACAGCACTAGTTTTTTTGATAATCTGTAACCATTAGATAAGATAATAAAACAGCCACATACACTGTATGAAACTTCACACAGATATAAGGAATAAAGTTCCTTCATTAGTTCTGTGTAACCAGATTAATTACTAATATACACAACTGACGCTGCTGCTGATGTACAGAAGAGTTCATATTGTTATCCTGTCAGATAATGGTTAGCACTTTACACACAAACGAAAGTGTGAAAAACAAAAGTTTGACTACAGGAGAAAACAGAACTTTAAACAAGTGCATCATGTTTGCACTCCTGTATTATCTACACAAATATATTATCGATATCCCTACTTCAGCTTTACTAGTATTACTTTTTGCACTCATTCCACAGCACAATCATCAACACACATGATACATGTCATGCTGTATATTTCACTACAAGCATGACAAGAATAACACAAAAAAGTGATTTTGTGTAGACTGAAGGCTTTTTGTTGATATCATTTAAATGTTGTTCTGCTGTCAGGCGATTTCCATGTATGTGGTTATAATGAGGCAGAATTTTGGAAATTCAAAACTAATTTAGTCAAACTGCATATCTGTTTCTTTTTGTTCATGACCCTGAACAAAGAATGCAATTACATATTCCCCACACATGAACAATTGTCTGATTATAGGCTATGAATTACACTGATGCTAGTATAATAATTGATGTGCCAAGATAATGCTGACCAGATTCAGGACTGACAGGTGAAATTTCAAGAGAAGTAATACTCTGTCCAACATTTGTGAAGAATGTTATAAATGAAGCCAGTTAGTATAGACATTTGTCAGTCCTGCCATGTAAGCACTGTTTGAGGTCACTGACAACAGTCAGTAAAAATAATAATAATAATAGCAACATTTTGTTTAACATACACATAGAGTACTGACTTGTTTGCAACCAGTAGAGAGCTGCTCTTATAGCAATCCCAAAATACTATTACAAGTACCCTGAAACATTACTATCCTTACAAGACACAGCTCGGTATGCATTTAACCTAGTAACTGTTTTTGATTTCTTTGCTAATAGTAATCAGTGACATCAAACAATGAGTTGCAGCAAGTTAGTACACATGCAGCACGTTAGCTTAGATACGTAGCTGTTCAACACTGTTGTGTATTTTTGTGATTATGACACTAACTGATTTGAGGTACTTGATGGAAATTGTACTGTCGGAAATACAAAATGTGGGAAAAGTTTGCTAACAAAGAACCTGAAAAGACCTTAAAGAGCAGGATTTTCCATTAACCTGCTCATCATCATAAAAATTTAAAGGTTCTATAACCTAACTCTGGACACTCAAAACTGATAAGTTACTATGAAATGAAAATTAATAACATTATACGAATTGATTGATAACTTATCATGTGACTAGGTCTGTATTTCAAAATTACAACTTGTTCTAGTTTCTTTGCCCGTTCCTTTCTTTCTTTGCTTCCAGGACATCTCAAGCAGTTACATGTGAAAGTCAAATGAATATTGCTCATTTAAAGGTAGTATAGGCAGGAATTTTCTTTAAAATAATGATAAAATGCAAAAAAAAAAAAGAAGCAGGTGGGAGGAGTGGGATCAGCTCAGATCCAAGGCTTAGAAAAATGCATAAACTTTGTAAGTAATCCCTTTCTTTGTGTCGCAATACTGAATATTATCTAAGTCTATTATCTAAGAATTTGACAGTATTGTAAGAGGAGCACAGCCTCATTAGCATATTAAATCAGTGCTCAATACCTACACTAGACTTCCAACATACAGTAAGTTAAAAGCATAACCATTAGGGGACGTAGATGTTTCTACAGTGCATTGACCACCTCTTAGACAAATTTCCTGCATAATGTACCTTTAAATAAAAATCTGGTTCTAAAGTAAAATACAGCTGTGATGTGTGATGATGACAGCTGATTACCATGGGTGGAAGCAAGTTTATGGAATGTACTCCATAGTGTGGCCAGAACAGAAGCAGGTGATATGCATTGATGAAAATGTTTTTAACGGCAGCAGAAAAAAATATACAAAGGGCAACTTAAAGGGTAAAAACAAGAAAATTCTATTCCCTTTTGAATTTTTTAAGGTGCTACATTAGGAACCTCAGCTTCCTCATCTCTGTCCCCTCAACCTCTCTGCCCATTTTGTTAGAATTGCACACTGGCCCTTCGACTCTCCCACCCCCCTCTAGAGGTCGATGAGCTGATCCACCAGCAGAAGGGGGCGGGCCAAGTTGGGGATGCTGGACTCTGAACTGCCACTGTTGCTGCGCGAGTGACCACCTGAAACATGCCAGAAAGAGAGAGAGAGAGAGAGAGAGAGAAGAGAAAAATGGACATGGAGGAGTCGAGGAAGGTTATGAAAGACCAGCAAAAGAAGGATTAATATTAATGGAGGATGGTTGGAGAAAGTAAAAATAAAATAAAGTGAAGTATGAGGGGGGAAATGGCAGAGCAGAGGGATGCATGAACAAAGGGTAGAAGGAAAGAGAAAGAAACAGGCAGAGAGTGAGCTGGGATTATTTTATACTGCTATCATTTCATGGGGAGATTAGAGGGAAGCCATTGTAACACCAGAAGCCAAGCATCTCAGCAAAGAAAAAGCAGTAGTGGAGTAACAATAGGAATGAAGATAATTTGTTGGCTTAATGGGGAGAAATAACTAAAGTTTAGTGTTTTAATCTTACAATTTTTTTTAATGTGTATAGTCTTAGAGCAAATGACATAAACTGAATTGGGAACAGTGGCAGTCATCTCTGTTGCTCCTAATCTTGGAATCTGCAGGTGTGGTTGCTCAACTCTGGGTTCTGTTAACCTTACCTTTATTAGGGTTTTTGGAGATGAGTACAGGAATAGGGTCAAACTCGTTGTTATTACCCTTCTCCCCACAGGACATGAGGAAAGTAGAGTCTGCAGTAAATGAAAAATGAAATAGGAATATTGAAAGGAAAAAGATGTTAAACTAAGTAAAGAAAACAGTCCAAGGATAAGAAAATGCAAGTAGATCAGAAATAAATGAAAGACAGGACATGATCCAAGGGTGCTAAAGCCATGCATATTTCAGGGTTGTAACATGAACCTATGTGTGAGTCTAGGTCATTGTTTTCTTTTTGGGTTCTGAACCTTCTGTTGACTATGAAGGATTTGTGATAATGACCCCCTACTGTTAAGGTTAGCTTTTACCAGAAGCTGAGTGAGCAGGTGGCAGCTCCTCCAGACAGGACCCAGAGCTGGAGCCAGGAGTTGCAGAGGAGTAGGAGGAGGAGGAGAGAGCAGAGACAGACTGGTTTCCATGAAGAGAGGTATGAGATAACAGATCACAACCCAGCAGAGAGTCCTCCCCAGTTAGAGATTCTGAGACAGTGTGACAGGATGAGGCAAAACAGAAGGGACAGAGCTAAGAGTTAGGGTTTTGTTGATAGCTGGAAAAATAACCACTGCAATAGGTGTAAAACTTGGAAGCTTTGCTTTTAAAGGCTACCAGTAAGAATGACCAAATTCCTCTAGTTTATAAACTAGGGATAAAGCAATGCTCTTATTTGGTTTCAGGCTTGATACTACATTCAGATACTCTCAATGGTATATATTCAAGTACCATTATGAGTATCTGAATCCATCTTGCTTAACTTGCCTGAACAAGAAAGTGCATAATCTTCACATAGACACATGGATAACAATCACAACTTGAGAAAATGTTTCTCTTTTGAAATTACTGTAGAGCTGTGTGAGTTCACATGTGTAATTCTAATCCAGGATGCTGACCTGGAATAGTGGTGGGGATGAGCTCTGGTTGGGCGGAATGTCGTGGGGTCTGGGGGGCTTCCAAACCAGGAATCAGTGAATCCACACAAACATCTGCCTTTGCTACAGAGATACAATAATACAGGTTAGTTAGTCATAGGAGAAAAGATGGACACCCTAGTAGGGATACATTAGTCAAGACCAGATGAGTGAAGGAGAAGAATGAAGGCTAAAGGAAAACAAACACATTTAGAGTAGACAGAAATGGGTAGCACAGGGGACAAGAACAGAGGGGATACCATTAGTGGAGCTTTCTGCAGAACTGCTGAAGGGGCTTGTCAGGGTTAAGAGGTCAGGGAGCAGCAGAAAAGTTTCTGGGGACTTTAATCCCTCAATCAGCTTCTCTGTGAGTGAGCCAAAGAGGGAGAGAGCAGAGGGCAGAAGGGATGGATGGATGGTCATGGAAACACAGAGCATAACAGAGGAAGAGGAAGGGAGAGAGGTAGAGAGAGAGGGGAGAGGGAGGGAGAGAGAGAGAGAGAGAGAGAGAGAGAGAGTGCAGAATCACAAAGGACTTTGCGTTAAAGAAAAAAGATCAGAGAAAACTAGAAAGGACATGGTGAAAATACAGGGAAAAAAAATGTATGATATAACAATCAAGACTATTCACAGTACACAACAGCAAGATATCCACTACAAAGATTTGAGAACAGTAGGGTTAGAAAAACAGTCAAGTGTGCATCAAGCGAGTAAATGTTGTATAGTTAGCCTGATCAAACACTTTCTTAGCTCAATATAACCACAGCAATAGGACTTAAGTTACTACAAATGTTAGTGCAAACACTAAGAACACAAACGTATCCTAGTATACAATTAATAAAGAAGATACATTTCACATACTATTGAAAGAAAAACTTAAATGAAAGGGAGAAGATAATTATGCCCCATCAGTCAGTTAGCTTTACGACAGCAGACACAGGCTGCTCTGATGCTTTCTGTCAGCATGCCAATATCTCCCTACCCAGAAAAGCAGAGAAAATCTTCTTCAGGCTAGTTAGTTCATTCTCATGCAAAGATCTTTGTCCATTGACTCTCAAGAGTTACATCTTTTGAATTGTTGCTCATGACCTTGATATTAATGAGAAGGATGTCCATGCATGTGTAATGCCAAATGACGATGTCTTTACGACACAGCGTATACTTACTGAAAGCCACTATGGGTAAAATGGGGTGGGAGACTTAAATAAGGAATGGGGTGATTCAGAAAATGGCACAGCAGATGTGACCCCTCGTCCCCTTCGCTATAGGAAAGAGGTCAACACTGATAGTAAATCCTAAGTGACATGTAGTACTGAAGTTCCAAATTAACCATAACAACCGCTGACTGCCAGAGTAATTAGTAGTAGGATGGCTGTTACTTCTCACCTCATTCTCATACCATAATAAAACACTACCCATCTCACGTAATAAATTGTAATAAAAATACATTTGATGATTTAAAATCAGTCAATGGAAGATTTACAAGCTTTATGCAGTAATACTACACTGGATTGTTGTGTTCAAATTAAATAAAAATGATGCTTACAACCGACAGCTGCACATACTGTACTATATCAATTGACTGAGGAAGATCTGCTGAAATCTTAACACATTTTAACTTGCCACAATGAAAAGTAATTACAATTTATAGCATTTCTTTTTCTTTTTTGACTGTTATGAATCATTATTGAACGACAGACTGTCTAAGAACCAGCTTACTGTAGGTCAGGTAGAGAAGATTAACAATCACACCTGAGTTGTGTAAGAGCATCAACAATTTCATCCCGTCAGTTCAGCCCCTGAACAGCAGCAACTCAAATAAAGTTACACAACCTAGAACACTATCAGCCCTTCTACATATAGTTACAGCTAAACTGTGAAGGCTATTTTTAAACAAGATTTTCATTAACATTGCCTGATTTTGTGCTTCTAGTAAGCAACCTGCTCCAGCTGTAAGCCAATCCAATTAACAAAGGAGAATTTGCCCTTTGTGTTGCCAGGCAACAGCAAAAGCGCAGATCCTAAATCCAGCAAGCAACTTCCTTATTCATGGACACTGACAAGGTGCGACTGTGAGGCTCATTATGTCAATGAGATTACACTGCATACACCACAAAACCCAACATACATTTTTCTACGTCAGTTGACTAAAAACGTTCTTAAAGGCTCAGGTGACTATTTATACAAAAGTAAAATCAAAGACACTGTCACTGTGTGACAAAATATTACCTGTGGTGTCGGAGAGTGAAAATGTATTAAAAGGGTCCGGGACAGTCAACAATGCAGAACCCGTGCTTGTGATGTCTGCTGATGTTTCACCTGAAACATACAGCAATATGAATGGATAATGAGAAAAGGTGAATGAACTTTATTGAGAGCTGCCAGTGTAGAAAATGAAGAGTGATTAAATTAAATTGCAATGCTATGGGATTAAAGATGTGAATGATGGTGCCAGACACTTGACTTGTAATGTGGTCAAATAAAAATAAACAGAGATAATAAAGGTGTTATCTGTGCATTTTCAAAATTCATTTAATTCCTAGGGGAAAAAAAAAGTTTATCAATCAACAGAGAAGCCAAAAATAAAGCCCTGCAGAACACCATAGGTGACTGAGAAGGATATAATTAAATCTCTTTAAATTAACAAAAAGTATCTGTTTGAAGCAGGTTTGAGCTCCATATGTGATTTTACCTGTTTTGCAAATGGTTGTTGAGATAAATCAAACTGAACACAATTGTTTGCACACTTTGAATTGATTGACAATACCATCTTTATTAAGGGACTTAACGTGATATATCTATCAAAGAGGGCGACTCTTAAATACAGAGTACATAAAACACTATACTAATACTACTTACTGTAATTAAAATAATGCTATTTAAATTTGTGTATTTAAACATTGCCATGCTTTTTACCTGGGAAAGCATTAAGCCCACGCAGGAGATTTTCACTGGAGCCTGTCATCTTCTCCCCTGATGCAACAGCTGTACACGAACAGCAAAATAACAATACATTACATTATACAACAACACATCAATTTGGCAGGTACAGATTTGTGGTGAACTAGTGGAAACCTACCCTCAGATAGCTTTGCAAAATCTTTGTTGAGCAGTTCTTCTGCTGTGAGCTTTGAGAAGTTATCATCTCCAAAGGGGTTCCAGCTGGATTGGGCATTGGGTGCAGTGATAATTGAAGACACCTCGCCCTCACCTGGGTGGTAGACACTTTGCTGGGAGGAGCGGGGGGAGCCAGAGGGAGTAGTGCTGGCTGATCTGCATTGCAAAGGGGATACACATGGACAGGGGGAAAAGTGCACAGTGACAAATGAGCATGTATGTTAAAGGCCTACTGACACATGCAAATAGGAGTGAGTGAACAGAGCTGTTAAAAGGGTGAATTAAGTGATTCTTTCTCAGCAAGATTCTCCTGGGCCATCTATTTGCCTTGTGTGTCCACTAACTGCCACAAAAAGAACGTTTATTTTACAACCACTGAAGGAAATTAATTCTGCTCACTTGGATTTATTAAGGCTGGCCTCAGCTGCGGCTGCCTGTAGGAGCTGAGTGGACTTGCTGACAGGGACCCCAAACACGGCACTGTGCGTGACATCACTCAAGATGCGACGGTGTCCACTCTTGGGCGCCATCTTTGGAGATGACGGTGGTGTCAAGGACCCAACCTTGTGGATCCCTCTGCCTATTGTCTGTAAAGATAAAGTCGGAGAAAAACCAGAGGTTAGCATGGTTAACAGAGGAAAATAAGCTGCATGCTGTAAAGAAACCAAAGTCCCAAGCACATGACCAAGCAAGAGCAACTGGAAATAGAAAATGGTCATAAACCCCCCTTGGAATCCCACATCTTGACCACAGAGTGAGGAAAAGATGAGAAAAGATTTACATTATAGATACAGCAGTTAGTGGTACAGTACAGAAGTGTAAACATATTGACATAGCAGCAACTTGCTCATAAACTGATTCCAGCTAAAGAAGACAAATAAGGACATGATTTGTTGAAGACAAGCTCAGTCAGTCCCAACCCAAAAGGCAGCAGTAGGCAGCAGAAGTAGGATCATTACCACAACCTCATGGTCAGCTCCACGACCAGTTAGTTCAGACTCAGGAATTGGAGTGAGATGCAGTGCTGCTGTTTCATGGGCAACCTGCTGCTGTTGCAGATGCTGCTGTTGCTGCTGGTACTGCAGTTGTAACAACAACCCTGCCTGCTGTTGAATCTGTTGCTGATGGAAGCTCTGTATCAGTTGATGCTAAACAAGAATATCACATGGCTTTTTATGTTTTACAATAGTTTCAGTAAGAAACATTGTTTACAAGTATAAAAGTGTTGTATATTACTGTATTATTACTGTAGACAAGAAAGGGTGGGGTGAGATGAAATCATAAGATACACATGATCAAAAGCAGTGGGTGTGTGCCACAAAGAGAGGCAGGTTCAGAGAGGCACTAGACACTATTTGGGATATTTTAAAGAAATGGGAACAATATGAATGCAATCTGTGCTGAAGTGTTCAGGATGACTGAACTTACTACAGATATTCAATAATTAAGTGAATAGTCAACATTTTTAAAAAATTTGAATCACTGGAAAGAGAACACTGCTGTTCAAAAGCACTTTATTTGTTTAAATGCAGTTTTAGTTTATACTTCCAAATTAAATGCTACACCCCCTTTGACTTGAGGACTAAATTATATATACCACAATGCAATGAATTATGATTAAATAGCTACATTGTTGCCCAGTGATAAATAAAATGTAATGATATAACAAATATAGGGAGAAAAAGAGAAAAACATTCGAAGTGGAAATATCTCTTAAAATACTATCATTAAAAATAATTATAAGGAGAGATCTGTATCTTTCGTTTTACATATACAACAAAGGCGGGTGGTGATATTTTAATAGATAGATAGACAAAAAAAAAAAAGGAGGAACATTTCCATTCTTGTCCTATAAAGATGCCTACCTGCTGGCCACCCTGTGGACTTAAGAAACCTTGTTGCTGCTGCTTCAAGAGAAGTTGATGATGCTGTGGTGTGGCATGTGGGTGCCTGCTGTTTGTCTGGACTGACAGTGATGCAGCCTGTGTCGAAATGCCCTGCTGAGCAGGTTGGACAGCAGCAGCTGAAGGCGGGGATCCAATACCAACACCTGGATAAAGGAGAGTCAAAACTATTATTCACCACATGCCCTGGATGAACAAGAGTCGTGGATTTCATTACAGTACTTCATGGAAATAAGGCTCATGGAATAAGATAAATACATTGTTTAGTTCAATAGATGTTTAAATGCGCACAATGCACATAAAACCAGCTCAGACTACCACCCTGTTGATGTGGTTGTCTGTGCTCCAGTCATTAAGGAGATATCAGGTCTTTGTCCCCATCAGGTCTGTCTTATGAAAAACATCACAGATTCCTACTCTGGTCAAACACTGACAGGTCATTAAGGACAAACAGAGTCCACAGAAACACTAATTGAACCACTGGGAGAAGAACTCAAATCTATTTTGCACAGTTCAACAAAGCACATCTCCCTGAACTATTACAGAGGTTGTTGGTAACTGACAACATAAATGGTTGCAGCGTTTGAGCACTGACAATAGAGACTTCGTTTAGCACTTGTACCTATAGCCTGGGACACTGGAGCAGCTACATTGGATCTCTTGCGTGGTGTGAGTGCAGGCTGGATGGGCAGAATTCCTGATATTGGCTGGGGTTGAGGCTGACCGGCCTTAGGCCGCTGTCGAGGTACAATTGAGGTCTCTGTGGTGGGGATGGGGTCTGTGAACCTATGGGGAAGAAAAGACAGAAGAAATATAATGAATAAGATATTATTATGTTAACTATTACACCTCTACCTATTGCTGAACACTTACCTGGCTTTGGTTTGACTCTTTTTGGCCACTGCTTCACTGGCTCTGATGGGCTCAGGGAGTTTTGTAGGAATGGGTGAATTCTAGGATAATAGAAAACAGACAAAAACAAACAATCACTTTTTTGTTTCTGTTACTAATTAGGAAACTATATCACACTCTGAAATTAATTTGTAGTTTCCATCAGTGCATGTGATATCAAACCGTTGGCTGCTGGCAATCCATGGCTGTCACAATCTTGATTCCTTTTACATTGGATTCATTTGTCAAACCTTCCTCAATAAAACCAAGTGTATTAACATAAACCACTGCTTTGGTTAAAACAATCTGTGGTGGTGAAGATACAATTGTGATTTCCCAGCCTCGGATCAATAAAGTACGTCTATCTATCTATACTTTATCTATAAATAAAGTTTAAAAAGAGTCTTCTCCTCTGATAGTAACCAATAACAACAGGACAACAAAAATAAGCTTTTCCCACTGGATGAATGTAGAAAATAAATAAATATAAATAAAATATATTTGTACTTTATTCCATTCCACAAGCGCCACGCATGTGGTTCCTCTGGGAATCGAACCCAGGACTCTGCTCTCTGTTTCCGAGGCAGGCGTGCTAACTGCTACACTATGGACCCGACGCCTGTAAGGGCTATGATCTGCAGTTCAAGGTGAATGTATACTGGAGGAGACAGCACATTTGAATGTACAATGTGTAATTGGACACATTATCATCTACTTAAAAAAAAAAAACTTGTTCATACTGTAGTTGTTGCCTATGAAGCAACAATATTTTTAAACACTCTCTATTCATGTAAATTTACCCCTAAAACCAGCATAGCACTTTGTAACAGGATCTAATCCATTAATTGTGTTTATGCAAATAGGTGTATAATAAGAAATATGATCACAACTGACTCACCTGCACTTAATATTTACTTTGCTACACTGTACACTCACTCACTGCCATGCTCACTTACATGGACATTTGTGACTGGACACTCCCGTCGAGCCAGTTTAAATGCAAAGTAGGACACCTGGTAAATGTCTGGTCTCCTATCTGGGTCAGGCTCCAGCATGTATCCTAAGAGGTTTACAAACATACACTGTTCAATTTTAGGTTAGACAAATGAAAAAACCACAGTTACAAGTTCTATCTGTTAAAAAAATACACGTAGTAACTAGGACGCAGAGTATAATGTAGTGAATAAGGTTACTTACTAATGAGACAGTGCGTGTCCTGTGAGTAGCAGGAGTTGTCTGGGATAGTGAAGCTGCCGTCACAGATTGCTACCTGACTTTCCCCAAAAGGGAGTGTGAAGTAGCACAGTTTATAAAGTAAACAACCCATGGCCTGTATAAATGAGAAGATGTAAACAGTCAAGTAATCTGGTCTTAAAGCAAACAGAAGAGTTACAGAATAGACACATTCATCCTTACCCAAATATCTGCTTTAGTTGTGATGACCTTTCCACCATAGAGGTTGACCATCTCTGGGGCTCGGTATGACAGAGTGGTGTACCTGTAACAGACAACAAAACAGAGTTACTGGACTTGAAGATAGGGTACGCACTAATTGAAATAAATAAATAAACATAAATCATTCATGCATGTTTGTGGAAGCCCAGCTTGTATCACACCAGTCACTCACTGAGAGTAGACTGTAAGTAAGTCTACAGTTGACAAGCTGATTCATGAAATTGTCAGTTTGTGATCGACTGGATACATTAATATTGTTGAGGGCAAAGACTTCACCAGAGTTTTGAAAGGTACAATATAAGCCACAGTCAAAATGCACAGTAATGATTCAAATCCACCAACTCTATAAAGCTTATTTTGTTGATTTATCTTGATGATTTATGATTATGATGATTGCCAATTTATTTTGATGCTTATTCGCCTTAACAATTAATTGTGATCAATCCACTGCTACCCTGTGATTAATCATTGATTTTTTTTTAAATATTTGTTTTATCAATATTCCTGCACAACCATATTTGACACTACATTTAAAACACTTCCTACCACCCAAAGAAATGACAGACGACTGAAAAACTCACTTCTTGATTTCGTCCTCTACCATCTGTACTCCTTCAATCTGAGGGTTTTGAAATCTGTTGGTTGCACTTCCAAAGTCACAGAGCACATAATGACCCTGGTCGTGCAGGAGAATATTTTCCACCTGAGTGATGGAGAAGTTAGACCTTAATTGTGTGATACAGTTTTTAATGGTAATAAATTGCTAAGATAAACCTGTTTCAGAATGTTACTGACAGGCACCGATATTCATGCAGTAAAAACGTGCATGAGAGAAAATTAATTTGACTTGCCTTCAAATCTCGATGAATGATAGGAGTTTTGCACTGGTGGAGACGAGCCACTGCCTCACACGTGTCACAGAAGATTTGTAGCACCTCAGGTTCACTGAAGCCTGTCTGTAACCGCTGATTCATCAGGTTGACCACCTGACCACCTTTATTAAACACATAGGTCATATCAAAGTATTGGGCTATACATTTATTAACACAGCAGCCATCAAATGAATGATACAACATTGGTGCGGTGGTTTTCAGTTGAACAATGACGGATACACATGGGGGCATACAAATTTACCTCTACAGAAATCCATTAGGATTAAGACCTCCCACACATCGCCTGCTCCAACTGCAGTTATGCTAGAGTCCAGGAAACCCACTATGTTCCTGTTACCCACAAGATCCCTCTGTGTAAATATACACAAAAAGAACAATAATGACACAGCATCGGACAGGCTGACATATTTCTATGTTCTAGATGACAAACTAAATATAGAAAATATTTAACAATTCTGGCTACTATAACAGTAGGCAACCATCTGGCAGTTGCTGTGTCACCCTCAGTGTGGCCACAGGAACAGGATAATTTACCAACAGTAAAGTATAATTCTTTTAAAACTTGGATAAGTATAGGAGTTTGGATTTTTAACCTTTTTAGCAAAAGTATGAGATTGATATCACTAACCAGACAAATGCACAAATGCTTATAACACACAACTGATTCATTCATGTTGAATGGAAAAGTTAATTTTGCTGAGCTTGGTGTTCATTTAATGGACCGTCTCACTCACCATAATCTGTATTTCAAGTTTGCAGATCTGCAAGTCGTGTTCATTGTTGACATACAATCTTTTGAGTGCACACTGCAGACCTTGATGAGTGCGCACCAAAAACACAATGGCAAACCCTCCTGCAAAAATGTGTGGACAACGAGAAAAATGTTAAAAGCTTGAATACGTTTTTAAACATACAAGTTTGAGTCAAAACATTCCAAGACAGATTGTAATAATATATATTTTTCTTGGGATCTTGGGATCAAGTGGACACCACCAAGGACAACAACATACATGAAGCTTTGTAACAAGTTTTGTTGTAATTCCAACCCCAGAGTTCTAGAATGAATCTGATGGAAACAGCACTTGCGAAAGGGTTTAGACTTGAGAAAATATATGTAGACTATATGTTATTTTTATTATCTTGATCTGTTAGGGAATAAAAGTAGTTTACATGACCGAGTAGTTTCAGACTTTTATCAACAACAGGTGTAAAAACCACCATGATTTTTGCACATCTGGTCTGAGTAAATGTCAATAATAATTTGATTTGCCCTCTAAAAGCAGGGCAATTTATATATTATTAATTTAAACAAGACGTGATCCACTGGTACACTTGTTTAACAGCTATTTAAATCTAACTATCTAATTGTCTATATTTAACAAATTAAGTCCCATGTTTAGTAAATTATCTACTTCTAGAAGTGAACTTTATTGGAAACAGGGTTTTCAGGTGTAAAACAAAGTTTATGGGTCACTCAAAGTAGGCCAACAACTGCAGGTAATTTATCTTTTGTGAGATAAGTGTATTCGAGTCGAATGTCTCTCAGCTGTGCTGATGACACACCGTGTAAAAACCTGCAGAGGACCAGATGGCCTAATGACCTGGCCCCATCTTATCTCACAGCCATGAGGTAAGGAATGTAACGCACATTTGCAGCACTGGGCTGAGTGACAACCTGGTAAGAGGAGCTTGAAACAGTGCCACATGAGTCAGCAGCTGTGCTCGGGGGCAAGGATAGAAAAAGTTGATAAAACTGATACAGGAAATTAGTGAGTTTGTCATCTTGACTGTGGTCACACTGGGAAAAAACTACCAATCACAGTTACTGAAACACTAAAGAATCAGACAGTGTTTTGTAATTTTACCTGACAATTTATTTTGCATTATTTTCCTTTTTTGCAACTGAGTACAGACATACAAATGCCTTTAGTTTTTGTTACTTTTAGGTGTGTGTGTTGATTTAGCTTTTCCTGGACTTTTGTGTCAACGGCAGCTTGAGCAGCTTTTACTTTAATGGCTGTGGTTTTTGTTGCGACTGCAGCTATTGTTCACCCTGTTGTTCTCTGCCAGGTCGTGTTTATGCGTCTGACTCATTCAAATAGCATCAGCAAGCCAAGGACAGTTTCATGTGATTGACACTGAATAAGACTGCCTTGGGCTACATTGTATATTATTAAAAGAAATTAATCAAGACATTTAATTATACATAACATCTTGCCTAAATTTATCTGACTGCACCCAAATCATGTGAGATGTGAAGCTACATCAGTGTCACTGGCAGAGTGTAGCTGGTTCCCTGCAGATAACGTCACATTTTTGCTGATGTCATCAATAACAAATACAGTTGTTGGCTAATGCACAAAACAGAAGCTAAAATCTGCAACACAGCACCTCATCACCAGATATGACACTGGCTGAGTAATTAAGTTTATCAAGACTATGAAGCATGTGCTTAGTGATCACAATTTTCAAAAAACACATAACAGGGCACACAGTAGGTAGGACCGGGGACAGGCAGTAATGTGTGTGCGTGCCTGTGCACCTGTGTCTGTGACAGTCAAATCTGAAATGCTTGTAATAGAAGTGATGGACACCAGCAAATGTTCATGGTGTTCACTTACGATCTGTCATCAGTTAAATGGATTGACAAAGCTATGACCAAGGCTTGCACTGCATAAACACCTGCTTACAACTACTATGCTATTTACAAACATGCTCCCTGAAAAGCTACACAACTCTGCAAGGAGAAATTAGTGACAAAGCAGTGGTGAAATAAACACTGAGTAGACTGAGTATTAAGTCTAGTTCTGGCTTTAGAACTGTTTACAAAAAGCACTAAGAATTGTCACTGTTGCACCATACTATGTAAAATGCAGGAACTTTGGGCTCATTCTCTATTACAATGCAACATATTATACTAAGTCTCCTGCACAGGGCTAATGTTACCAGCAGTAACATAATATCTACCAAAGATAGCATGTCTTGTTGACAGGAAAGGCAGAAAGCTGTGCCCCAGAATAGGTTGAGAAGTAATTAAACACTTAAAATAACAATAAACATATCAAAACCGCAGAAGTCAATTATAATAAAAGGTATAATAAGGAAGAGACAGTTAAAAAACAGTCCCATGAGCTTTTATCTTCTTCTTTCTTCTATCTATTTTGAACAACCCGTTTCTGGTTTGTTGGTTGAGTAATTAATGAACTCTATGTCCTATTTTGTACTGTGCAGAGGATGTACAACAGTACAACATATTTCTAAAAACTCAAAAACAACTAAGATTATAATTACATTCCCTTGGTAATTACAGCCATATATCAAGCCAGTGATGTGTCATTACATTATAGTTTGAACCGTAAAACTAGAGGTCAAACTTTCAAATATACTCGCCATTTAAAAATGTGTTCATGATCCTGTTCTCACTTGTGAATCCATAATAGCATAACAATTTATCTCAGTTTAAAATGAATAAATATAGACTATTGCACTCAGTCAAAGGTTTACGTGGTAGAGATGAAAAAGGAAAAATCTAAATAAAGCTAATTCTAGAAAAAGAACTAGTAAGAGATGTGTCTTCAGACCCTAAATTTGGTGACACAACATTTTCATGTCATAGCATTACTGCAACTCGGAACAACTGCTGATACCCATATCAATCCAATACCTAAATTTCTCCTCCAGCAAGCGGCGTAAAGTTAAATCGTGCATTTGGGCTTAGATATTTAACAGAACTTAGTTGTTGTTCAATGTTCAATCCCTAAATTTAGATCAATATTGGACCGATGTTGATCCTAAGTATCGGATCAATTCATCCCTACCTAGAACAACTGCCAAGTCACATGTAAATGACTTTGACTATTTTGAAATTGAAGTGTCAAAAGGAGAGTCACTAAAGCTCTTCACAGGAATCCAACGTGAGTTGGAAACCAAAATAAACATCTGCAGAAAATGCATTTAAAAAATAAAGGAAAAAACAGATGCTGAAAACCACAAGGAAAAAAAGAGATCTTGGAATTAGAATATTTGAAATTAGATTTGAGAAATTTCCAGCACCTTTTGGCCATCAAGATGATAGTTGCAATAACAACGTGAACCAGAAAAACATTGTCCATATAAGGGTATGTGGCAATGAGAGTATCTTGTCTTGGATAAAGGACTTAACTACTTAAAAAATGTTTTCTTGGCAGTGCAATAGTTTTGTTTTCACTTCTATTTATCTTCAATCTAAATGCTACCTTGGTCCCTGAAGCTACAAAACTAGTGTAATGTATCCCTCTGACTGCCTTTGTCTGTATAATGTGAGTGTTACATGTTGACAACAAAGGGAGTGGACTGAGGGGGGAAACATTCCAAACGAAACTGCAAGCTAAGAGCAACCAAAAGCCCAGAGTACAACCAAAAACATCTGAATAAATAGGCCAGCAGGCACTGGGGAGAGTTCTGTAGCAGACACTAAGTCCACTACAGAAATAAGTCCAGTCTGAAATACAAAAATTCCAAGAACACCTAAACAAATGAGAACCTTGGACAGGACAACATCTGCATCAAGGCCACAGTTTTTCCAGAAATTATAAGCAAAGTGTATTGCAATATCTGACCATCATCTTCATAAAGCTATGAAGTGACCAAACAGATGGCAGTCATTTAAGTGCTGATAAATTAATCAGACCTTTCCATGTATTTTTTAGTAAGAGACACTCTGAGCTAGTAGAGCATGACAGACTAATTAAAAAAACTAATGATCAAGGGGAAACATATCCCTAAGACATGCCTTGTTGAAACCACCCATTGTGGATTATGGTTATGGATGAAGCAATGTTGCCAGGTAAACTTCATTTCATTGTTAATTTCAGTGATTTGTCTTTACATTTAACTGAAAAACAACTGAAGCAATCATGTTTTATGAGGATATCTAATGTGCCTCAATGAGCCCCCCCGCCCCCAAGTCAACAACAAAATAATCTGTGCCAGTTGTATCTGCATTTGGAATTTGTCACACCTTCTGTAAATATCAAGACAGATGACTCAGCTTGGCAGTGCCCTTCTACAGTGGGATAAAAAAACATAATGCCATGATTCTGCTATTTTTTTAGGTAACAAGAGAAGATACAAGCAAACAAGCAGCATAAAAAGCTCTCATGCAACTTTGATTCTAAATGAAAAAAAAACAAACAAATAAATATGCAAACTCTTCATGCGATGCACAGACAAGAACTATGTCCACAACATAATGCTTCTTTACAAATACATGACATTCAGGTAAATTTTTTATGCTTTATATATCCTATGTTAAAACATCTCTTGCCAAGGAGCTTATAGATTTTTTTTTCTAAAAAGGAAAGGAATGATGTGACCACACAATATTGTAGAAAATATTTATTTACCCATACTTATTTCTACTGTTTCAACCAAAAAAAAAAAAAACGTTTAAGAGTTGCAGTTTATTATGCACACGCAAAGTTAGTCATGTGCCAGACGCAAATTCTTACCAATGCAGTGCAAAGAAATTTATCAGGGCATGACATTGTCTTGGGATAGTCAAGAAAATAATTACTGTTTAGTGTTTTAATGATTTTAAAAGTTGTCTAGATTTAATTAGACATATACTGAGGGCTGCAGTTTGCATTGTTTAGTTCTTATATTGAATCCACTGTTGCATCAAGGAAGTAATAAGATGACTTATTTGTGCTTGTAGTCTTCCAAAATCTGACTCTTATTATGTATTACTGAACTATAGGGGCTAATACTCTAATGTGTTCGATGTGTTCATGTTTCAATATATTTAAATTACAGAAATAAGAAATGTATTTAAACTGGTACAGAAGATATACGACACTGTCTGCTTTCCTCTTCTGGTTGGTGTTTATTTTGGAGTCTATCTGGGCGTAAACCTAGTATTGAGGAATGTTTTATATGTTAATGTTAAGTCATACAGCCTCCAGAAAGAGAGAGCTATCTTGAGAACAATTTTGGTTCAACTAGCACTAGATAGTCATTGCTTTGTACCACGGCCTTTGTCCAATATTTAACCCATTCAAATAAAGTAACTGGAGTGTGTATCAAAACAATAATGTGGTAGAATTAGAATAGTGTGTATTCTAGAAAAAGAATGTATTCCAGGCAACGAAAGCCTCATATTTCACCTTCTGCGATAATCTCTTCCACGGTCACTTGATACCGTCCAATGCTGAAAACACGTCCGATAAAGCCGCTGCCGCCGCCGGAACCTGCGCCTCCTCCACCAGCTCCAGAACCAGGCCCGGAGCTCCCCAATTCCCGTCGAGAATCGAAAAATTTCTTCATTTTCTATGAGATATTGTCCACGACACTGTCGAGCAACAAAGTTTATCCCACCAAAGCCTTACTGTGGGTGGACCTAGTCCCTGTTCGCTCCGGCGCTGGCGTTAGCACTTTTCATTAATTGAATGAACGTAGCTAAAAGCTAAATGCTGGCTAACTTAAATTAATACCACAAACACTACTCTCTGACGCTCCATGGCGAGCTCATGATTTTAATTAGAGAGAGAGAACTCAAAGTTGGCCGAGGAACTAATTAAGAAGCAGTGTTTGTCACCGTTTTCCTGACGACAGGAGCTCAAGCCGGCTGGTTAGCCTGGGTATAAGCCTTTAAAACACTTGCTAGCCAATAGCTCACTTAGCCGGTTAGCTGAGCAGCTCGGTGCGATGACAGCTGTCAGTTCATGGATTGGCAGCAGCATACAGGTAGATCCTACGTGTCCAACGTAGCTTAGTGAACGTCATTATCGCTATTATTCTCCGGAAAAAAATCAGACGACTCACGGCTTCGTTCAATAGCTTAATAATATGAAATTGACTTAATAAGAGAGCTAACCTCCGTACAAACAGTGTAGGTGCTGGAGGAAAGAATCCTCTCCTCTACAGCCTTTCTAGACGACGCACTTTCCCCTGAATCTTACGTCATCGCCTTAATAGTAGGTGTTGTGGCAAGTTTTCGCACCCAATGAAATAGTATATGCTCTATGAACGCGCACACAAATATGTATACATTTCATCGTGTTTTAACGTGTATTTAATTCCATTTAAATATACAAGTGTATTTCATATTTTGTTTCTTTAAATACTAAGGTACTAACTGATAGTAATGTTTTACTTTTCTATAATTTCCCCATGTGGATTAATAAAAACGTAATCTGACTGGATTAAGAAATTAGAAAATAAATGTTTTTATACTTCTGTACGTTTGTACTACTAACTTAAATAAAATTAGTTTATAACACCCAACTGGTTCTTTTCTCACAGGGATGACAATATTTCTCTCAAGTTGATGTTGTTTTCAACCTCAACGCAGTTGCATGTGCTGCATCTGTATCTGTTGGAGGCTGAAGTTGTCTGTTGGAGTTAAATCCTGTAGGTGGCAGTCTAACTCTACAAAAAGATTGTATGGACAAGGATAAGTTGTGTGTCAGAGAGAAATGTAAGAAAGTCAGTCATCGCTTTCGGTGTTCTCAGTGTAAACTGTTCAGGTTCCATAATTTGGTTTTACGTGTGCATCAGATGTGTGGTTTCAGCGATGTCTGTGACGGCAAGAAGAAACGGTAGGTATTCTTACAGGGTTGCAGCTTTAGTCAGATCCATGTTCTTCACACATTCTTACAGCACAGGATTAAAGGTCTTGACAACTCTAAATACAATAGTGCAGCTATTGTATTTAGAGTTGTTCCTACAAGGACTCTGCGTCCACCACAACATCTGCACTTAGAAGTATCTGTCCTAAATTCTCCGGATTTTAGTTTCAAAATTAACTTCAAATACTGCATTTATAGCTAATACATATGCCTGCATTTGACCCACTACATTTGTTATTTTGCTTACTTTATATTACTGTCATTTACACACTCCATTGACTTTGGTTTCTGGGACTGTTGAAGAGTATGAAGTCAGTAAATGTTTTTTTTTCTGAATGGACTCAAATAATGTCACCTTTAACAGTTAGGAACCCATTTAGAGGGAAATGTACAATTCAGCACACAGGGACAGCGGCATATACTGTACCTATGTAGCAAGTGTAAAAACTACACAGGCCATGGGGGTCTGGCTGTGATTGACATCAGGGAACAAATATTTTCTATGGGAGTTGTATTAGACAGGGAATCATAGCATCTGTAACTTACAGTACATAATCTATCCACTGCCCTATGCCATAATGTCTCAAACAAAATGCATTTCTATTTCGGCTTGTTTCAGTTCCCTGATTATTCGGCCACAATCGAGAGGGAAAAATATCCACACTGACTAAACCATATCAAATTATAATGGGAACATAAGAGATGCACTGTGGTAAAAATCAATTTAATGAAAGCCACTCTCTGTGTTTAATTGTGATCAGTGTTCATCATGGCTCTATCGGGGATCTGATGTGAATATTTTATTGAGAGTGATTTGGCTTTTCATATTTATTATATATTTACAAGAGAAGTAACCACACACACACACACACACACACACACAATCAGCCTTAATTTCTTTAAATGCTAGGATGGTTCATAACCCTGACATGTTTTATTTAGTATGATATTAAATGCTGCAGACAAAACAAAGATGAATTCTTTACTAAGACAAATAACAAATGCACACTAACACCACTATTTCATTTACTTGGTCTGGGCTGATGTTGGTAATGCACACCTCTAGTGCACCTGCAGCTATGTGTTCACATGTCTTTTAATCAGCAGTGTTTTGCATTTATTAAAACATAACTAAAAGTTCAGACACGTATTATTTTAGTTTGAAATTAAATGGAAAGGTGATTAGCTCTCTTGCCATGTAGTGCATGCGCTGAGATGCTGGGATAAACAAAGCAATTAAGAGTGAATTAGCCATGTCTCATCTCTTTTAGTCAACTTCATCTGAACCATAACACTTTTCCCTGAGAGGAAAGGTTCAATAAAACGAGAAATAAGTAGGTGAACAGATAAGCGATTATGAAGATCATGAAAATCTCTAAAGCTTACAAAAGATCACACAAAACCACATAAGATTAACACTAACCATGGGTGATTTTAAGAGAAGAGTTGTTGGTACTCAAACAGTCAGTTTAATACTGACCTGGCAAGGTTTTAGCAGTGTGATCCTCTTCAAAATCAAATAAACTGTCCTGTTTGACAAATTAGGACCAAAGTCCTTCTTGTCCTTTATTGCCTTTACCTTGATCATTTCCTAATGAGTGGATTATTAGAGTTAGCACCCAGACAGCACAAGACACTGACCTCCCCACAATCTTAAACACCCTCCAAAGTCAATTTTAAGTTTTTAAAAGCCTTAATGGAGATCAGTATCCTGATCACTGCCATAATGTAATTTTGTGACTATTAAAAAAACAGCACATTTACACTAAATGATTTCAAATCAATAAACTGGTCTCAACTAGTACTTTGGAGAGAACTCTTGAGAGAACATTTTATTGATGTTTTATTATTATTGATTGACGTTTTTCCTGAATGGTTCATGAGTATTATCATGAATATATAAGGATTTTTTAATTAACTTTTTATGATAAGGTGTTCATCTGAACGGTAAAAACAAGTCTTACAGAATCAAGTGCTGCTTGGCTTGGACTATGCAGCTTCATAATAGTGTAATCAGAGTTTTGGTTAAAAAAATATTTAAAGTAATACTTAGCACTGAGATACAATTCAAAACCTAACCTAACCTGTAGGAGTAAAGAAACTTCTAGACTGAGTTTTTGATAATCAGATAGTGCAGTGGTACATACACTGTGAGTCAGAGCACACTGACCTTCACATCCACATCCAGACAGCTCGCTGCAGAGAAGGGAACTGGTTCTGGGGTGCCAATTGGAATAGCTTTGTTGATGGTCTGGCTCAGTGG